AAGTGGGTTGCATAGCTGGAGCTCTGGGTGTGGATAACAGCAAAACCCAGCCTCCGTGTGGCCGGCACCACCCAGTAGCCCAGATGGAATAAAAGCTTGGAAGGTTTGCTGTTGCTGCGGCCCAAACTGTAGCCATTTCTGCTGACACCACCGTGCTGCCTTGAAGCCAGCCGCTACAGAATGAAACCTCCACAAAATGCAAGTGAAAATAAACCTTTCTCTAACTTGTGAGTGTCTGGTATTTTATTTCAGCAAAGAGAAAAGACACTGACCTAGGCCTGGTCCTAACCCTAACACAGAAAAAAAGGCAGAGACAGCACAGGTAACACATCCAAACTGGGACAATTATTAGGGGCCACTCAGGTACACAGGGACCCTATGAGAACTGTGGGGCTCCCAGCTTGTAAAAGCTCATTTCGAATCCCTTCACAAAGAGATTGACCAGCCGGGGATGAAGGTACACAGCTGTCACCCAGCACTCAGGAGGCTGAGGCAGGAGAGTCACCCTGGCTCAAGCCAGCTTGACTACACAGTGAGACCCTGTCTCTAAAATATAAATAAAATAAAACAAAACAGGGAGATGAAAGCTCCACTTGTTACCTGATGGAGGGTCCCATGGGGCTGCTTTCAGGTTCTCGGTGTCCCAAAGAAACAGACAAGACACAGAGAAAAGCAGCGAAGGTGGACAGACACTGAAGGTGGAAAAGAGTAAGAGAAAGACGGGACAGGCTCCCAGCTGCTCCGCAGATCAGGGAGAGGGGCCTGGTGTAACCCAAATTCTCGGGGCTGGCTTCCCTGTCTTGCAAATAAGGCTTTGGGACATTTGTCCTGGCAAAAACTCACTTGGCCTGAGGCTACCTTTAAACCGCCCTATGGAAAGACTCTCAAGGCTTCCCGCCAGATGCAAATGAGGAATTGAGAAGGGCATCTGTGATTGGACTTGTGAACAGTGTCAGATGCAAATGAAGGACTGAGAAGAGCATCTCTGATTGGCGCTGAGAACAGTGCCAATGCAAATGAAGGACTGAAAAGAGCATCTCCGATTGGCCCTGCGAACAGTGCCAGATGCAAATGAAGGACTGAAAAGAGCATCTCCGATTGGCCCTGAGAACAGTGCCAGATGCAAATGAAGAATTGAAAATAAATCTTTTTTTTTTTCTTCTTTGTAGCGGGAGTCAAACTCAGGACTTTGCACATGAGTTATACTGCGGCCCCGAAAATCACACTTTTCTGACTGGCCCGCAGTGTCCAGGAATCGTGGGGTCCTTGTGGGCCCTGCATTCAGCGCATGTGCCCTCATTTTAAGAAATATCTTTAAAAATAAATAAATAAATAAATAAATAAATAAATAAATAAAAAGAAATATCTTGCTCCACTGCTTAGCTGTGGGTTTGAGGAACCTTTCATGTATTCCGCTCAGCTCGCCCTCCAGTGCCGCGGGGCAGGTCTCGGGGACCTGTGCGGAAACCTGAGGGAGGCCATTCCCGGTTTTGGGGGTTGTTTTTGTTTTTGTTTTTGAAACAGGCTCATTACACAGTTCAGGCTGGCCTTGAACTCACTGTGTAGCCCAGGCTGGCCTCCAACTCACTGTCAATCTCCTGCCTCGGCTTCCTGAATGCTAGGGTTACGAGCTTGCGGCGCCACGCCCGAGTGACCATTTCTTTGGGCAGTAAAGCAAAGGTCACTGTGAGTCACAAGTTCCCAGTTTCTCCAGCCAGGGGTGGCACACGCAGGGGAGAGGCCCGTGTGGGGGGCAGGGCGAGGCTGCCCGCAGAAGAGCAGCCCTGGGGCCTCGGCCGCGTGGACTTGGGTCAGCTCGGGCTTTGTGTTTGCCGGAAGGGAAAGTCATTCTCCCAGCAGGCACAGGACACTGTGCCGCTCTCCTCCACGCCCGGGCTGAGGGCTCTGCGGAGGAGCAGACAGAGAAGAGGCAGGCGCTGTGCTGTTGAGTTATACCTGACAGACAAGAGGCAGGAGGGGCCTGACATTCCTTGCGCCCATAAAGATGTCCTCAATTTCAGGCCTGTTGCATTAACAGCTTTTGTTTTGTTTTGGTTTGGTTTGGTTTTCCATACAAACACCAATCTCACCAGACAGAGTGGTAGGCCAGGCCTGTCATCCCAGCACTCAGGAGGCTGAGGCAGGAGGATCTCTGAGGGTTTGGGCTGCACACACTAGGCTACACAGTAAATTCAAGCGCACCCTGAACTACACAGAACGACCCCACCTCCAAAAAAATAAAATAAAATCAGTTCTGGGGCCCAGAAAGAGAGAAATCTAGGACTTCAGGCAGTAATGTGGCTGGGAAGGGATGGAGTCCGGGGCTCCGTGTGAGCAGCCTGCTTCTCTGTCCCTCTGTCACACACCCCACTCTGACTCTTCCCAACTCCTTCACTGGTTTCCTCCAACCTCTTGGCTGCTGGGGTGAAAGCCACACAGGGCTGCGTGCATCTGTTGGTGTGAGGGCTTAGGGGTGTCCACACACGCACCTGCTTGGGGGAAGGAATTTATTCCCTTCCTTTAAGGAAATCTCAGATCCTCGTTCTCCTACGGAGAAACAAAATGTGAAATGCAGTGTCCCTCTGAAGTTCTCACTGGTCCAGAAACTCTCTACGTAGCCCAGGCTGGCCTCAGATTCACTGGATCCTCCTGCCTCAGCCTCCCAGAGCGCTGGGATCACAGGTGTCTGCCACCACATCCAGCTTTTCTTTCAGAAAGATTATAAATTAAAGTGACAGCAACCATCTCAGTAAAATCCACAAGCCCTCTACCAAGACACAGTCCAGCCCAGGGAGGGCAGAGGGGCCGGTCCTGCAGGCCGAGGGGTGAGGGCTGGTGGTGGACATGGCCCACCCCTTCCTGTGCCTCTGTGCACCCTACAAAAATAGGACTAAGTGGACCTGGAGGTGCAGAGAGGGGGCACAGAGGGGACAGATATCTGATGCCCCAGAGGACCTGCAGACTGAAGTGTCCCCAGGGCAGGACATTAGGGCTGACAGTCAGGAGGCGCTAGGCCGTTTGGTCAGCACCCTCCTACCTGCACGCCCGTGCGCTTATCTAAGCCAAGCCACACCAAGCCCTTTCCTGGCCTCTTCCCCTGACCGAAGTCCAGGATTCCTCACCTTCAAACTTCATATTTGCAAAGTACATGAAGAAAACAAAGGAAACTTCCCTTATTTTTTTTTTTAAGACTGGCTCTCCCTGTGTCTCTCCATCTCCAGCTTGCAGCAATCCTCCTGCCTCAGCCTCCAAGGGCTGGACTAACAGGCATATACCACCATGCCCACCTCAACAAAACACATCTCTTTTTTTTTTTTTTTTTGACACCAGGGATCGAACTCATGACCTCACCCTTGCCAGGCAGGCACTTACACCACTGAGCTACATCCCAGGCACCCAACACATCTTTAGTGAAGAGAAACCAGCTCTGGAGACCTCCCAATCCCAGCAGATTCATAAAAGTACAGCACAGAGACCAGCAGCAGAGGGGTGGTACAGCAGAGATTTTGGTCAACTCCAGATGCAACCGGGCCAGTGGGAGTTTCCAGCCAAGACCATAAAGGTGTGGGAGTGCCCATCTGTCATCCCAGCACTCAGGAGGCTGAGGCAGGAGGATCCCAAGCTGGAGGCCAGCCTGGGCTACATAGTGAGGCTCTTGTCCGGAAAATAAAAATTATGGCCAGGATGGGGGGCGATTGGCAGAAGCAGGGACCTCAGGGTGCAGGCAGCGCTGCCTAAACCAACCGAGTGGGCCTCAGGCCAGGGGCATCGGGTATCAGCCTGGGATGCAGAAGCCAAGAGGCTGATCAGAACCCGGAGTGATCAGACACGGGGAGGGCTCTTCCCACCCCGTGGGACTTTCTGAAAGTCCACCACAGGCCCGGGAGAGCAGGCCAGGGCCTCAGCGGTCTGGCCAAGCAGGGATCCTCATGGGTTCCTTTCTTGCTCAGTAAAAGAGACAACATTCTCCCGGCCAAGAGAAACACAGGCTCTTCCTCACTGGATCACCTTGGCTGGCCATCAGCTGAGGCTTGGTAGCAGGTGTCTGCCGCACGCTGCCAGCAATGAAGCATGTTTGGCTCTCGTTTTGTTTTGTGGAGATGCAGTCTCCCTGTGTGGTTCAGGCTGGCGTGGCCTGGAGTTCACAGCAACCCTCCTGCCTCAGCCTCCCGGGGGCTGGAAGGACAGGATCGAGGCTCCACACCCAGCAATGGTTACAGCATTTATGAGGAATTTTTATGGGAATAAGGACACTGTCTCTTGCTGTGGCTGGGAATGCAGCTGGCGGTGCCCTCTGTGTAACCCGGATGCTGGGACCAGGGCCCTCTCACTTCCGCCCTACATCCCTGCCACCACCATGCGTCAGTGCGGGAAGCCCTGGAGTGTGACGCATGACTCTGAGGACACTGTCACCCTCTGCTGCTTCCCAGGAGACCTTGCTCCTTAGCCACAAGAGCCTCCCATAGGCGTCCTGCTCAGGGACCTGCCTGGCAAAATCCACTAGGCCACCATAGTTGCTCTCTCTTCCCAATCTCCCCCAGGACCTCAGCACCCCTGCAGGGTCCCCAGGTATCCCCCACTGTTCCATCAGCCTCCTCAAACCTGACACACAAACCCACAAGGGGTAAATAAGCAGGTGCAGCCAGGCATCGCGACTCACACCCGTCACCCAGCACTCAGGAAGCTGAGGCAGGAGGATCTCTGAGCACTGCGGCCCAACCTGAGCCACGCAGTGAGTTCAAGGCCAGGGCGGACTACAGTAAGCCCTCAGCTACAAACACCGGAGTTGGGAACTTTCGCAGGTGCATTGTATGACCCTCACTTTGACAGATTAGCAACAAATCCAACTCATTAAAGTTCTCCCAGAAGGGAAGGTGCTGGTGAGTCCAGAACATAGTGAGATGCTGTCTCAAAGAGAGAGAGATGGGGAGAGAGAGGGGGAAAAAGAGAAGCAAGCTGAAAAACAAGACACTTCAAAATCACTCAGGTCAGAGAGGCACTTGGTAAAAAATTCAGTTTATGGTTCACCCCCCCACTGAAAACTGAAGACTTCAAAGTGCTGACATGGTTGGGGTACCAGCCCCCCCAGCACCTGCTTGAGCCTCCACAGCAGGGGGAGGTCAGGGGTCACTGGATGCCACCTCGGTCACCTCCACACTCCACCGGCCCCAGGCATCACCTGCAGGCCCTCATGTGCAGCTCCGGGGCGACCGGGTGCCCTGGAGCCACACTGGACACCCACAGGGTCATCGCACCTTGTGCAAGTGGGCACTCCACGCCCAGGGCCCCCAGCCCCAGCGGTGGGAGAGCTGGCCAGGCTGGGCCAGACTCGGAACCGGCCCAGGAGGACAGGGGTGAGGGTCTCCGTTCACCACCACAGCCACAGGGTCCGGGGCCCATCAGAGGCCCGCACTGCCCACCTGGGGGCAGAGGGACAGTCAGCAAGCTGACCCAAGGCCCCCGTCTCAGGAGGACGACACCGGGAACACGTAGTGGTTCTGCTGGGCCTCCGAGACGGTCAGGGTCAGCGCCAGGCTGGGTTTGCGCGGCTCCTCCCCTTCCCCCACCCGCTCCCCCCCTCCCTCCCCCTCAGCCTCCAAGCAGGGCCGTGGGAGGGGCCGGACTTTGAAGAAGTCTGAGATGTAACGGACCTGGGGGAGAAAAGGGGGGGGGGGCGGTCAGAGGGTGGGCAGGACAGCGGCCAGCAGGGCTGGACCAAGACAGGAAAGGGACGGGGGTGGGGGGGGGGGGTCCCAGCAAGGGTCAGATCCCATCCCGCAGGGCTCGCTGGACAGGGTGGGGGGGGTCCAGGGGCTCACAGTGAAACCGGCCACCAGCGCCCCCTGCAGGAGGCCGACGAGGACGTCACTCCAGTGGTGCCTGTAGTCGGCCACGCGCGTGTAGCCCACGTAGAAGGCGAAGGACACCAGGAAGAACTGGACCGTGGGCCGCAGCAGCCGTGCCCACTTCCAACGCAGCCGGGCCTGCACGTAGAGCTGAGGGGGGCAGGGCGTCAGCCTGCAAGGGTGTCCATCCATCCATCCATCTGCACAAACCAGCGACCCCACCTGGCCTTACCCCATTCCCAAGCACCGCAGTGCACACTCACCGCCAGGAACACCATGCAGTACATCCCGAAGGACGAGTGGCCCGAGTAGAAGGACAGCCTGGGGGCGGCAGGGGGTGCAGGTCAGCAGGGGACGCGGAGGAGAGGGGGGTGCGCACCACCGCAGCCCCGGCCCGCCTTCCTCCAACAGGAGGGGGTGGCCACCCGTGCACCCACCTGGCCTCGGTGACGTTGGCGAGGGCTCCCCGGCACACGTCCACCTGCACGTAGCCGGAGCAGTTCACCCGGCTCCAGTCGGGGTCACAGACGGCCAGGAAGCTGGGGCGCAGGCGGCCGACCATGTACTTGGCCAGGTCGGTCAGGGATTGGCTCACGGCCGCCCCGAACAGGAAGGTGCCCAGCACCTTGTAGACGGCGGCCACGTAATTGTTGAAGTCAGAGTGGGAGTAGAGGCGGTGTGTGTAGACGAGGTAGGCTTCCCCTGCCGAGACCTGCAGGGCCGCAGGTGAGGGGCTGGCAGGCAGCTGGGGCTCCCCCACCCCACCCCCTGGCCAAGCCAGGGCAGGGCCGGGACCTCCAGACTTGGCTCCTCCCTCCCCCTCCCAGGGTGCACTCCTGTCCCACCCCTCACGGTGGTCTTACAAGTATGACGGTGACAGTGATGGTGACACCGGCCATGAGTCCATTCGTGATGGTGTCCGGCTGGTAGGGGTAGCGAATGGAGTCATCTCCACAGTAAAACCCGCGCTTGTACGGGGTGTTCACCAGGGTCAGGATGACAAAGGGGAGAGCGGCTGCGGCAGAAGCCAGGGACAGGACGGATTGGTAGCTGCGCCTGGACGCTCCAACGCCTGCCACCCACCCCCAGGTCAGCCTGAGCTTGGCTGTGCATCTATGCCGCCCCCATCTATGCTGGTGGCAAATGGGAAACTGCTGCACCCTGAAACCCCCCCCCCCCAGTTTCCCCAGCACCACAGATCAACCAGACCCCACCCTGGGCCCCTGCAGCAGCACTACTAGCCTGCTCTGAACCCTGCCTGGACCACACCCAAACCTCCTGAGCAAAACCATAGACCCAGGACCCCAGGGCCTTTGCACATGACTGCTCTGCCCAACTCCCACAGTGCCTCTCCATCTCCTGACTGCCCACCCCCGAGCTCAGTCACAGGGAGGAACCTTCACTCTTCACCTCTCCTGCCCTCCTCATGGAATTACAGTCGCCTGAGGGATTTCTCCTACCACAGGCATAGGCCCAGAGGAACTAAGGTGGGCCTCGAATCTGCAGGACCTACAGGACCTGGCCAGAGCAGGCGGTATGGTTAAGATAAGGCGCATATGCAGGGCTCTGACACTCAGTGCACCCAGAAAAGAGATCCCACCAGGTCTTCAGCCACAGGGCAGTGCAACAGGAGACTCACGCCCTAGCCCAGGGACAGCACAGGCATCCCTGGCCCACTCTGGGTGGGGGTGGCCGGCAAGCAGGAGCCCACTGCAGGGCCCGGGAGCCGTGCCAGCCGTGGAGCTTTCTCCTCCAAGGCCCAGGCTGGGGACCTGTCCCAGGGTCACAGAGTAGGGAGGCAGGGAGTACAGAGAACGGAGCAGCGGGGCAGGGTGCGGGCTTCCCGAAGGGAGGATGTGGAGAACGCGATGGAAAAGCCAGCAGGGCTCAGGGCCCTGGGGAAAACGCAGGCAGAGGGACACGGGGACCAGGGAGCAGTCAGGAGCCTCCCTCAGAGTCGGGGCAGGGTCTCATACCGGCCCCCAGATGCCATCCACGCCCCTGCCTGGAACGATCCGGGGTAAATTCAGATGCTCCACTGTGCCCACGAGCTGGGCTCGCGCATCCCAGCCGGGCCCTTGCTCTGCTCAGGAAGCTGTCCCCACCAGACCCGGCAGGTGCCCGGTCATCACGTGGGCACCTCCGAAGCCCCCTGGCCTCGCGACGCCTGCACCCCCCAAGCCTCACTGCCTGGAGCGCTCAAGAACTCGAACGCGCGTCCGCCCCGGGCGCCACCGGGGCGCAGGCAGAGCTCCCGCGCCGTGCCGTGTGGCTCGCGGGGGCCCGGCGTCCTGGGCCCGGCTGGCTGCAGGACAGGTGGGTTCCCCGCTCGCGGGCTGCTGCCCGGCCCCGGCAGCGCCGTCTGAACAACGCCGGGGTAAACAGCACGTGCGCCCCGGGCTGGCGGCACCCGCCCCGAGGGGTCCCCCGGGGCCGCGGCGGGGGAGGTCGGGTGGCGCCCGGGCCGCCTGCGCCTGGCCGGCAGACACTCGGCCTTTGTCCCGGCGGGAGGCGGGGGGCTGGGTGCGACCTCCGCGGGCCCGGCCGAGCCGAGCGCAGCCCGGCGCAAACCGGCCGGGCAGGTTTCGCCCAGCGCCCCGGGCGGGATCCCCGCAGCGCCCGCCCCCACCGCGGCCCCAGGGCCAGGGCGCTGCACCCGCCGGGTCCGGGGCGCTGGGCGCTGGCGCCCCCTGGGGACGCGCGCGGGGTTGGGGCCCGGACCCCGCAGCGCCGCCCCGCCCCGCCCCCATCACCGCCGCCCGCTTCCTGCGCGGGACCCGGCCGCGCCCGCCTGGGGGTCCCGCGGGGCCCAGCGCTTACCGACCAGCACGCACAGCACGTCGAGCAGCACGAAGACCCACCTCCGCTCCATGCCGCCGCCGCCCGCCGCCACCCTGCGCCCGCCAGAGCCTGCGCCCCGTCCGCGGGGTCACATGGCCGCCAGCGGGGACAGGGCAGGGCGAGGCGGGGACAGGGGCGGGGCGTCTGGAGGGCAGGGCAGGGGCGTGCAGAGCAGGGGAGGGGAGGGGGGAGGAAGAGGGGGGAGGGAGAGGCGGGGAGGGGGAGGGAGAGGGAGGGGAAGAGGAGGGAAGGGAGGGCGAGTTGAAAGTGGGGAGGGAGAGCAGGGGAGGAGAAGGGAGGGGCGGTTCCGAAGTGGAGGAGGGGTGGGGAGAGGAGAGGGGGTATGCGGAAGGCAGGGGTGGCCTGAGAGCGGAGGAGGGCAGGTCGGGGAGAGGGGGAAGGCGGAGGGGAGAGGAAGGGAGACGGGGAGAAGGGACCAGAGGCCCGCGGGGAGGAGCCGGGCCAGGGACCCCCCCCCCAGGTGTATGCGGGTCAAGGGTCTGTGAACTGGGAGCGGCCGCTAGATGCCTAGGGACAGCGATCAGGAGGTCACCCAGGAAGGTCCCTAGACTTGGGGCGAAGAACCCCCGCGGGTGCGTGCTGACCTTCCCGGGATGGACACCCCAATACCTGGGAAGCCAGGGAACGCCGCAGAGGGGTCACCTCCCTCCCAAAGCTGTGACGCCTGAAAAAGGGTCGCGCCCCTCTGGGTCAGCAAGCCGAGGCTGAGGACACCCCTGTCCCGCAAATTCCGTGTCCCGGCACCCGCGCTGGTCCTCGGGGCCAGGGGACCGCGCGGTGGGACACACGGGCAGCAGCGCGGCAGTGGCAGGGGCGGGGGCCCGATTCAGGCTGCCCAAGCCCGACTTCTCTGCAGCACCCGTCCACCCAGCAGCCCCAACAGGGCCGGGGTTTAGCACCCTAGCACCCGGGTGGGCAGGGCCCACCTGTAGTGGGGGGCGGGGAAGGGAGGGCGGGGAAGGGAGGGGCGGGAGGCCCAGGCCCCGCCCTCACGCATTGCCCCTCCTCCAGGAGGGTGTCGCTCTGGCAAGCCGGCTGGAGGGCGGTCCTGCATCAGCCGTGGGCAGCACCCTCTGGAGGTCCAGAGGGCGCTTGGTTGGTCCCGCTGAGAGCTTGCGAGCTTGAGCCCAGGTCCTTACTGAGCACCTCCCAGTGCTAGGCGGGGAGCCCTGCAGGGGGAGGCTTCCCAGGAAGGAGCTGGGGCGTGGGGGGAGGGGGAGGCTGATGTGGGTCAGGCCTTAAAATCGCCAGGCAGCCTCAGGATTAAAACCTGCGCAGGCAGCAAAAACCAGGATTAGGGTCAGAATTGGGGTCAAGGTATCTACCCGTTACCTACAGGTGCCAGAGCTAGAAGGGGGCTGGGGTGTGGAGGGCCCTTGACCTAAGCCGGGGCCTCCTGATCCCTAACCCTAACCCTGGCACGCTGCTTTACCTCCTGGGAACCAAGAGAAGCAACCACAGTAAAAGCAGGCCGGCAGCAGCAGCATCTGCACTTAGGCACTTAGTTGGCACCTACTGTATGCCAGGCCCCTGCACATGTCACAGACATCTGTGGGCCCATCGGGGCACTGAGCCCTCGGTCCCACTGCCCAGGGGGAGCTGGTTCTGTCCGGGGAATCTGAGCAAGAGCAGGACTCCAGCCTTCTCCTAGCTCTCCCGTCTGCAGTTGAGTATCCTGACTTTCTGCCTAGCGCCCCCCAACCATGGGTGACTCACAAAGGGGGAGCAGAAAGGAGTGCAGGGCACAGATGGCCCTGGTAACAGGTGGGTACCCTCTGGAACAGAAAAGAAAAAGATGAACCAGCCTGAGGTGCAAAGGGAGAGAAGGGTGAGTGGTGTCAGAAAGTATTTTAAAAAGAAACGAGAAACAGAAACGGGGGCATCTGGCTGTTTTCTTCAACACCGAGAACCCAGCCAGGCCTTTCACTCGGAGCTAAGCCCCAGCCTTATTTACTTTTGTTTTTTGTACCGGGATCCAACTCACGACCATGCGCTTTGCAAGGCAGGTGCTTATGCCGCTGAGCTAAATTCCCGGCCCGTCAGCCCGCGCTTTAGATTTTTAAAATTTGGAGACCAGCACTTGTTAAGCTGCACAGGCTGGGCTCCACCTCGAGACCGGGAGATCATGGCTGAGCACCCTGAGGCGGTGGCACTGTAGGGGCCGTGGCGGACCTGCTGCCAAATCCTCTTCCCTGGTTCCAGACTCCCAAAACTTCCTGGCTACCTCTGGTGCGCTTGGACCTGACCAAGCACAGAAAGCTGCTGCCTGGCATCTGACCCAGGGCCAAGGACCATGCTGCACCCTGGGCCTGACACCCCACCCTCGGGGGACCCTCCTGGCCCACAGCAGCTCAGGCTCTCCTGAGCTCAGCTCTGCATCGGGTGCGGTGGCCGCGTGTTGTCCCCAAGGACGCCCTGTGCCCATGTCCACTCCATCAGGGTGACAACCAACAGGGCTTGCACCCAACCCTGTCCCAGCCTCAGTACGGGTCCCCACCACAAGAGGCGCCTGGGCTTCAAATCAAGTTTAATAAATAAAACAGCGAAGGGGCGAAGGCAGTTTCACGTCACAGTGTGGTCCTTGGGGCGAGGGACAGTTAAGTCCGTACAGGTGGCTCCGGCCAGCACTGCGCGGCCTGCCGGGACCCACTCCGCTTGTAAACAGAACAGAAACAGAACCTGGAGGCCGTGGCAGGACAGGACCCCAGAACCCCGGCCACCTCCAACAGAACACGGGCAACGGGGAAGGGGTCTGGGGTGCAGCCGCCTTGGTGCAGGGGCAGGGGCGGCAGCAGGGCGCGGGTCACCTGCTCCTGACACCGCGGGGCGCCGGGGCCCCACTCCCACAGGAGGGCGGGGTGGGGGCGGAGCTAAAGTGCGGCTTTTCCTGAAGTGTCGGGATGGCCGGGCACTCGGGAACAGCGAGGTATATGGCTCTGTGCCCGCGGCCCGTAGGAGCAGCAGCAGCTGCCACTGCCCCGGGGCCAGGCAACCCCGCCAGGCAGGGGGGGACGGGGCTGCACTGGGCAGAGGCTGCTGGTGCCTGTGGTGCTCACATCCCTGGGCAGCTTAGTCCGCCCCTGCCTCTGCTGGCTGCAGGGGCCTGGTAGCCGGCTCTGCCCGTGTCCTGAGGGTTGGGCCTCCTGCACACCCGAGGCCGCTGGGTCCCTTGACACAAAGCTGGGCTGGAGCAAGTGGCAGTGCCGAGCCCCGAGGCCGGGCTCTGTGTGGCCCTGGTCCAGTCTGTAAGGAGGGACGAGGCTGCCGCCCTCGGTCCCAACGCTGCCGGAAGCAGAGAAGGAGTCACGCAGGCCCACGTGGCGGGGGTCTGGAGGTCGGACAGGCAGGCCCCCACACAGTGCCAAGTCCAGTCCAGGCCGCACACACCCGCCTGGGGCCAGCGGTCAACAGGTCATCACGTTGCAGCTGCCAGAGAGAGGACAGCGGGTGAGCAGGGCCCGGCTCCAGGAGCCCAGCCACCCGCTCCCGCCACAGACCCTTTGGGCAGAGGGCACGGGGTGGGGGGCGCAGGGCAGGCTGGGGCCTGGCTTGCGCATCCCCAGCTTTGAGTCTTGTAAGCGTGCCAGCGCGCGCAGGTGAGCGGGCTCCATGCCAGGGCTGCCCACTTAGGCAGGTGGGTGGGTGGGGTGCTCACTGTGATAGGGGCTCCGCGTGCAGCCCAGGCGCGGGGCAGGTCGGGTGGCCAGCCAGGAATGGGTTCACATCCCCAATGCCGATGAGTCCAAACTCAGCCACAGACAAGGCCACCTGTGCGGGAGCCACAGGCTGCTCGGGGTCCTCGCTGAGCCCCACGTGGCTAGAGAGGAGGGGTAGCTCCTGTGGCAGGGCAAAGTCTACCGCCAGCCTCGGGCTGGCACTTGGCTCCGGAGGGGCCGTGTCTGGCGGGTACTCGGCCAGGTTGCCCAGGGCTTGGGGCTGCTGAGGTGGAGGCACAGCAGGAGTCTCATCCAGCTGCTGGAAAGGGCTGGGCCCTGACTCGGAGGGCGGGAGGCCATCGGACTCGTCTCTGGGCTCACTGTGACTGCCAGCCGCACAGTCCACCCTCAGCGACTCTACAAGGGACAGTGCAGTCGGGGGAGGGCCACACCCAGCTGGCAGACCACAAGACCCACACCAGCCCCCTGGACCTCACACACACTTCCGCTGGGCACTGTTCAGGGACCCCCACCTGATCCTCAGAAAGAGGGGGCTCCACGAACAGCTTCACCAACATAAGCACAGGGACTCGCCTGCCACACTCAGGTCACAGACCCGGGTAGATCTTTACAGCCCTGACCTTGAAGGCTTGAAAACCAACTCACTGGGTCAAACCACATCTCCTAAGGGACCAGAAACCACCACTGGGGGCTGACAAGCAGGCTGGAAGCACGGTGGGGACCATAAGCACGGCACATGGGGCTTTGCACTGCTCTGTGTGCCAGACAGGCCCGTCAGACACAGTGAGCTCCCGCGGTCAGTGGTGACTCCCAGACAGGGCCATCTGTATCATTCATGCTGCTCCTACACTCACAGAGATCCTCCTGCCTCGGCCTCCGGCATGCCAGCTGACAGGTGCACACTACCATGCCCAGTTCCACACAAAGTTTGGGGAAGAGGAAGCAGGTGGGGGCGTCCTCTGGGCAGACCATACTAGATCCTGGAAATGAGGCGCCCAAGGACACAGAGGGCCCCGTGTCCCCCAGGGGATGCCCTCAGAAGTCTGGAAGATGCAAGCCCAGGCCTCTGTTTCCATCCAGTGTCACAGAAACAAAACTGGAACCTCTGAAGACACCTTCGGGTCCCTGCCTGTCGCTGGGTGGCCTCCCCAACTCGTGGCCTGTTGGCTGGGACTGAGCCTGAGGGGCCCTGTGGGACACCATCCCAAGCCAACGCACGGTGCTGGTGGGGGCTGAGCACGGAGGTGCAGCACTCACGGTGGCACTGACCCAGGCCAGCACCAGGGCGAAGCCACCGCTGTCCACTGCAGCTTACCTGCGCATGCCCCTGCCAGGGGCCCCTGCTCAGCACGGGCGCGGGCGGGCCCGTCAGGGTCGCTGCCATCCAGGTCTGGGTCTGCATCCCTGTGGGGGGAGGCGCCATGGGGCCAGGCAGCAAGGTGCACAGCACCCCGACGCTAAGGGGTGGCCCAGGGTCCCCCCACACCCCGCCCAGCCTCGGGCAGGTGGCCAGGCCACCGTTACTGCTGAGAGCAGTGCTGCACGCACGTGGTTCCGGACGGGACGTACTTCCTCCGGCCCAGCCGCGTCTGCTGGGCGAAGTAGTCATAGCGCTCCGACTTCTTCCACAGGTAGTAATACTCCACGCACTCGCCCACCGACCGTGTGCGCACCTGCAGGGCGGCAGGCACCACTAGGCCCCACGGCTCCACCTCCATCTGGCTTGAGGTCCCCGAGCCCCCGCCTTGGGCTCGGGACCTTCCTGTCCCCAAGTGGTGTTACCACCATGAGCATGCAGAGGCCCGGGCCCAGGGCCACCTCCACCGCCCCAGCCTGCTCCTGCAGACCCGGGCACAGTGACAGTGGGTCCCCGATTCACAATTACATGGACGGACCTTTCAGAGAGGACACCATGGGAGTGAAGGGACACTGTGCTGAGAATCACCTGAGCACACGCGCGACACCAGGGCCCTACGACACTCACACTCCGAGTCACACTCCAGACACGGCAGGGGCACCAGGTGTACTGAGTGAGACAGGAGGCGGCATGGGCAGCGCACACCTGGCCATCAGAGGGATCCGGATGCCAGGCTGCGGTGCTCCCCCAGGACATGTCACCCACAACTCCTGGGCGCACCGTGCCCACTGACAGCAAAGCACCAACACTCGGCACCTGAGACCCACTCTCCACCGGGCACGGCTCTGAGCCCATCCAGGGGCGCCCGTGGGGAGGCCGGGCAGCGAACACCACACCTGCATCTGGATGACACACAGACCAGGGGTGCGTGGCCAGAGCCATGGGCTCCGGGCATGGAAGCCTGCGTCGCGGTCTAGTGAAATCTCCAGTCCAGCCCTGGGCACACAGTCGCCAAGTGCCACTCCCATCTGTGACCGCCCACCTCTTGATTACAAAGACATCGAGGATCCTCTGTCCTCATGTCCCCAGGTCACAAGGCCAGAGCAAGGGACCAAAGAACCGAAACAGGGCCCCAGGGGTGGGAACTCTGGAAGCCAAGATGGACCAGGTGTGGGGTCAGCCTCACCCACAGGACCCAGGACCTGCACACAGGAAGGGCAGAAGGATGGGTGCCCCAGGCCAGAGAACCAGCAGACCTCATCCCCACAGCTTTGGTTGGAGCGCAGGGTCAGCATGGGGACCGTGCTGCTAGAAGGCACCACCCTAGGACACAGTGACAGCAGGACGGACGGGGACAACAGAGTGGAGCCCTCCCAGGAAGGGCCCTGCAGACAGGCGGGGAGGCCCACCTTGTTGGCCTGGATCAGGTGGAAGTTCTTCCCATGCACGCGGAAGCCGTGCTCGAAGTTCCTGCGCTCTTCCTCACTCCAGGCGCACAGCCCGTCTGCAGGGGCAGCGGGCCGTCAGCGGGATGGGGCAGGGCAGGCACCGGGATGGGGCAGTCAGCAGGGCGGGTGGGCAGCGGACAGGGTCATCAGCAGGGCGGGCAGCAGACAGGGTGGTCAGCAGGGTGGGCAGCGGGCAGTGGGGGCTGGCCAGCTCACCCCGGACGACCTTCACATTGAAGCGCAGCCGGCGTAGCGCCTCCTCCACATTGAAGTTGCACTTCACCAGCTCGTACAGCGCCTGTGGGGGCACAGCTTAGTGCCCAGTGCGGACTTGGGAGGGCCCGGCCCGCCCCTGCCCCGCCCCTGCCAGGGCCCTGGCCCCACCTGCTCGCTGTCCTTCACAGCCTCCCCGGCCGGGAGCTGGGACCCGGCCACCTCCTGCCAGCGGCGCTTGGCGGCCCGGTACAGGAACTCCTCCACCTCCCGCTCGGGCAAGGCTCCGGGGTCCCACAGCAGCTGGTCCTCGTTCTCGTAGACTGCAGGGGAAGGAGGGAGAGATCAGCCAGCGCTGCGACCAGCTGGGCACATGGGCCCTCGGGTTTGTGGTCCACGAGGCTGGTCATGGGGAACAGGACGGGGCCAGCGTGGCCTGGAGGACAACAGAGCCTTGGGAGCAGGGGTGCCAGGGCAGCCTGCTTTGCAGAAGGGTGCTGGAAGCATTTGTGGGGTGCACAGGTTTGGAGGGCTCCCTGCCCCACTACTGAAGAGAAACACAAGCTCCTAGGTGCAGGGAGGGGGCACGTCCAGCCAGTGAGAGGAAAGCCCCCACCACTCAGGACTTTGGCTGTGAGGCCAAAGACTGAATGGAAACCTGAGAGCGCGGCCTCACTGGGGAGCACCCTGGCAGGACCTGCCCCACGGCCACCCCGCAGCCTTCCTGGAAGACGGGGGCCCAGGACAAGCAGTACCAGCCACAGGGAAAGTAGAAGGCACCACAGGGCCTGGCAGGAAAAGAGGGAGCGAAGGCCACAGGTGCCACGACGTCCACAGAGGACAACAGTGTCACACGACCAGGCAAGAGGAGCGCGGTATGGAGGAAAAACCCAGAGTCCAGCGGGGAACTGGCGGCCGTGTGGGTTAGGGCTCCTATGTGGCCCTCCTGGCTGGGCACGCAGGAAATAGGAACTTTCAAAATACTCATGGCGATGACTGGGCACAAGCGCCATGCAGTAAGAAGGTACACTTCTAAGTGAGAGCCGGGAGGGACACAGAGGCCTGTAAGCCCCCTTGGGTACCGCGTGGGTACCAGGCCTCAGGAGACAGGAGCCATTACCCCGAGGAACCGGGGGAAGGCGGCCACCTCTGGCTGGGAAGGCGCTCCCACACCCAGCGGCAGCACCCAGGTTCCAAACCTCACCCTAGGCACCCGGCCATGCAGAGCAAGAGAAGCGGCCAGCCCGGGGGACACAGGGTCCCTTCACACCCATGTGCCCATGGACACAGACAAGCTTTCTGTCAGAAGATGTCAAAGGCGAGCTCCAAACTGAAGAACAGCGCAGTGAACACAGCCGACCAGAGAGGAAGCAGAGCCGGGGGACTCGGGGTGGCCCAGAGCAGGACACTGGGAGGGGCATTCGAGGGACCCACAGACACTACCGCCTGGGAGCCAGACAGCAAACGGCATCTGTGACCTCCCTGCTTGTTCCCCACACCGTCATGGGGGAAACTTCCTGAGTGGGAGCAGCGGGCACAGGGACAGCCACGCACGGTGTCCAGGGCAGCAAGTGCACCACCCCGCAGAGGGACAGGGCGGACCCGGAAAGGACCCAGCCGGCCACTCACTCTTCTCGCCGTGCCGACCCAGGTGCAGGTTGCTCAGGTCAGCTTGGAACTGTGGCCCCACCATGATCTCCTGCGGAGGAGGCAAGACGGGGTAGGGGACGCGTCACCCGCCACAGCTGATGCCCTCCAACCCCACCGACTCCCGAAGCCAGCAGGCAGCACGGGGCAAAACCCAGACAAGGGCCCCAGAGTGCCCAGCCACGCACCTTCTTACACTTGTTGGTGGGAAGGGAGTCCTCCTCCGTGTCAGAGGAGGCCGAGGAGCCCGGCTCTTTGTCCCCACCAGCCAGGAAACGGGCTTTGGGAAGAGAGGGGTGTGAGGTGCAGCTCACAGTTCAGCTGCCCCTTCCTCGGGGGATGCTCCCAACACTGTGACCCAGGACCCCCGACCCAAGACCGCCCTTCCCTCCACGCTCAGACCAAGGCCCTGGGTCTCAGCCCATCCAGTCCAATGCCTCTGGGCGGGCGTCAGGAGGTGGACCGGGCACCTACATCCGTTCTGGCCAGGGAAGAGGTCGGAGGCCTCATGGGAGGTGACAGAGGGGGTGAGGTCATCCGCCGAGGACTGCGTCTCTTCCTCCTCTTCCCCGGAGAGCAGGTCCTTCGCTATCTGCTCCTTGTGACAAAAATGCAAAGGCCGTGCCACACTCTGCCTGATTCACGCACCTGGACTCCACAGCAGGTGGGAGACCGCGGAGCGTCCATCCTGGGCTGCAGCCCCAGACCTCTGGGGCTGTCGCTCCCTCTGCAGGCTGGAAGCGGGACTGCAGGGACAAAGCAGCCCCAGGGTGGGCAGCAGGGAAGCCACCTCCATCCACCCAACTTGGCATTTGGGGCTGAGTCCTCTTAAGACAATGCCTCGCTCCTCCCCTGTAGCCCCCGCTGGCCCCTCTCACTGCTGACCCCAGCCTGGCCCGGAGGAGGCCAGGGCCATGTGTGGACCACCCGCTCACCTTGTCCAGGGTCATGTCCGGGAGAGTGGGGGCCGGGTCGCTGCCCTCGCTCTCCCGCTCTGAGATGGGGTCCGATGTCTCGTAGCCGTAGAAGGCGAACAGCTCATCCAGGGGCATGTCACTGCTCTGGACAGGGAGACGGGGTGTCAGCAGGGCTCCCCTGGGCCCGGGCCCTCATCCTCCTGGGGAGCACGCATGGACCTCACACACAGCCCAACGTGGCAGTGCTGCCTGGCCAGACCAGCCCAGAGGCCACCACCAGGGACAGGACAGCTAGGACCAGCACTGCCCAGGTTCGGGGTGCTGTGTGAGGCTGACCCCAAGAATGCAAGGAGGGCCTGGCCCCCCCAACTCAAAAGCAAGGTACAGAGACTGAGAACAGGCTGGGAAAACCCAAAGCCCAGACCTGCTTGAGACACTAAGGGACCGACAGGGACTCTGCCACCATGACGGAGGCACGATGCCACCTGCTGGACGCCAGGTGAGGTGGCCGCCCGAAGGACACCAGCCACTCCACAGCACTACAGGGATGCTGCCCACGTCGTGGATCTGGGGACAACTCTGCACTCACCACCACCTCAAGACTCACACTTGTGAGCCTCGTGAAACATTAGAGAAGCTGAACTGGAAACCGTGAATCCTCAGCCCCCGGGAGAGGTCCAGGAGACGGTGGGGATGAACTGTTAGGGACCCCTACCCCACAGGGCGACCGGAGGCCTGCACAAGGGCTAACCCCACGGAGTTAGCGCCCTGCTGCCACTCCAGGGTCACGGTCAGCGCCTGGAGCGGGAGAAAGGCCTCCCCAGAAACCCTCGCTGCTGGCTGCAGCTTGGACTCTTCAGCCCTGAACGATGAAAAAGTTAAAGGTGGAAGCCACCCAGTCCCAGGCGTCACATTACAGCAGCCATGGTGGACCAGGCACTCAGAAACACAACCTCAGCCAGGGCCTGAGGCGTGGTCAGCACTGCCCATCCGAGCAGCGCTGGGATCCCACCTGGCTGAGCTCAGCTGACGTCACCAGAACCAGGGACCATGGCCCCGGCTAGGCCTGACGCTGCCACCCTCTGCAGGACTGCGGCTGCGGACTCCAGGAGCAGGGAAGGCCACACACAGCTGCTTGGGAAGGCACCCATTCTGTGGGGCCACAACACCTCTGGCAGTAGGGGGACCCGCTACACCCAGAGATTCGAGGAGATGCAAACAACCATGCCTTCCTGCTCCCCTTTCTCCCATTCTGGGACATGGAGCAGTTATTTCATCTGCAAAAAGGACAGCACTTCTGGCGAGGCCAGCGCTCACCATGGAGCCGCACGCACCAGCCCTGCTGCCGGAGTCCTGATGACCAGAAAGGTTACAGCTCCTGGCAGGGCGCCCCACCCACGCACCTGGGCCGCGAAGTCCTTGTCCAGCTCCTCGGCGGGCTGCTCCGGGCCCCTCGAGGCCACTGGGCACGTCTCCTGCAGGCTGTAGTTCTGTGTCAGGATCTCAGCGAGGCTGAACTGGGGGTCTGCAGAGCCCATGGACACCACTGTGGGGGACAGCCCAACCCGGGCTGGTGAGTGGCCACCTCACCTAGGCCCCGCCACCCTGCAGACACGGGGGTGCCCAGAGAAGGTAGGTGACAGTGGCCCTACTAGCAAGATACTGTAGCTGAGACAAGGGGCATGTGCTTCTGTCTGAGGACACGTGGTCCTCTTACATGGAAGGTGCAAAGCTGGGGGGCCAGCAGCACCGGTCAGGCAGGGGCAGCTGCAGCCCTGGACACCAGGTCGGGCCTGGCCCACAGCTCTGAGCAGGCTAGTGAGGGACAGGTCTGAGAGGCCACAGACCCGTGGGGAGAAACAGCCTGTGACAGACACAGCCCACAGGAAGGGAGGGAGCCGCCAGCACAGTGAGGGTATCCACAGCTGTCTCCACACCAAATGCCAAACAAGCAACAGCAAGAGGGAACAGCCAGGCCACTCGGAGGACGGGGCAAGGGAGGTACCTGCCGTCGTCTGCAAGCCGGGCTCCCGGGGGCACAGGTTGTGTGCAAGGCAGGAGGCCACACGAGGACTCTGCCTCCCCAACGAGGAGGCCTGCGGGGGACACAGCAGAGTTAGCTCGGCAGCCCAGAAGGCCCGGGAGCCTGGAGCAGCACCCGGGAGCGAGCACAGGTCAGAGCTGGGCTCCCGGCTGACCCTGGAGGTGGACAGCCAGTGCTGAGAGCCACTGCCACACACCTCCCACACGGCCCAGAACAACACCCACACCCAGGCAACACGCTGCCAAGTACCCACCAACAGCCCCTCAGTTGCAACCTGAACCCCACTGTATATGGAAGTTGGGGACATAGGACAAGCCAGACACAGGGCCACGTGGTGAGGACAGCACCAGGCAGGAGAATGCTCTGGGACCAGGGGGAAAGGCCGCAGAGGCTGTGAACAGATCGAAGCCATCACTTCCATACTTCACATGGCCACACTGCACGTTGAGACAAGCCTGTGCGTGTGACACGGAGCCAGGAAGGGACTCTCAACTGCAAAGCCACCGTCGCCCCCAGCGCTCAGGGGTGGCAGGTCCTGTCTGTGCCCCGGGCTGGAGTACATGGCTCGGGCACACGAAACCGAAGCCCACTCGGCGCCAGAAGTCCACTGGGAGGGTTGCAGCAAGCTCTGCTCCCCAGTGTGGCCATCTCACACACACAGTAAAATCCTAACGAAAACCACTCACACTGATCAGAGTTTAGTGAGGCTGCAGAAAGTACAGGCTCAACACGCGGAGCCCATTTTACTTCCACGTGCCAGCACTGTTGAGCCACAAAAAATCAGATGAGGCCACGAGTGGTAGTGCACGCACCTGGGATCCAGCACTCAGGAGGCTGAGGCAGGAGGATGAGAGCTGGAGCTCGAGACCAGCCTGGGCTACACAGCAAGATCCTGTCTCAACATGAAAAAGGAAAAAGAAAAAAGGAAAAGGAAACTTCACGCTTCAAAGGACGCTATGGAGAAAGTGAAAACTCGGAAAATATTTGCAAACAATGCATCTGGTAACACACATAATACAAACAACTCTTACAACTCAGTAATAAAAAGATGGGCAGGGGACCTGACCACAGGCAAGTGCTCAATGTGCACGTGTAACGAGGCCTCAGCTCCACACCAGGGAAAACAGGACCTCCCACTGCAGCACTGCAGCCACCTCTCAGTCCCGGCAAAGCGGCTGCGAGCGGAAACAGAAACAAGCGTCGGCAGGCACGTGGACAAAGCAGAGCCCGCCCGGTGCTGGGGGACACACCGCTGCAGGGTGACGGCTGGCAAGGCCTCCGCAAGTGCAATGCTGGGTCCCCATATAACCCAGGAATTCCATGCCAAGAGAAAAGCGCACACCGGTCCACACCGACGCTGCCTGTGGACGATCCCGGCCAAGAACTGGAAGGGCAGGAAAAGCAGCGCACAGCGCCACGGCGGAGGGTGAGATGACCCCCAGGACACTGAGCCGGGGAGGGGGAGCCAGATGGTGAGAGCCACCACCCCCCCGTGAAACGTTCTTGACAGGCAAATGCACAGAAAAGGAGTAGCTCCACGGCTGGCGGGAGCTCACCGTGAGCCGGTGAGAACACTCACACCTTGATGGTGCCAGCAGTTACACAATCCAGAAAGCACTGAAGACCACCAGGCTGTCCGTGTCCCAAGGAGCACCCTGCACAGCAGAGGAATTCTGTGGCCTCCTTTAAAGGTAGATTAGAATATTACACAAAATTAAGATTAAACTGGGTATGGTGGCTGCCATCCTAAGGCTCTTGGAGGCTGAGGCAGGAGGATCACAACTTCTAACCCAGCCCGGGCAGATGCTGTGTCAGAAGAACAGGGGCCAGAACATGTCTCCGTGTGAAGGCCCCGGGTTCAATCCCAGTACCACAAAAACAAACAAGGTCCTCAGGAAAACCATACAGGTGGTAAACAGACAGACATACCCTCTCCACAAGAGAAGGCAGGAAACCAGAGCTCAGAGAGGCCAGGTCACTTATCTGGGCTCACACAGTAAGGTTCGTGGCACAACTCAAACTCGGCACTCACAAACCCTTCCAGAGTCCCTGCGTGCAGAAGCAGGAAGGATGGCACCACACGCCAGCCAGCATCACAGCCCAGGTGAGAGCTGGGTGGCCCAACACCACCATCCTGCAGGTTCACACCGGGCTGCGAGCCCTGGACACCAAGGCAGGAGCCTGCGGGTCTAGCAGGGAGGACATGGCTCCATACTGTGCACTCCACAGGGGCAGGGGGCCGCAAGAGGCAGAGGGAGGGGATGGCAGGGACAGCAGGGGGTCTGAGAGGGAGGGAACACAGGACACCTGGAGCTGCAGGGCGTCCCCGGCTTTGGGCCCTGGTGTACAAAGCTGGAGCCAAGGTGGCCTCGCTTCCCTCCTTGAAACCAGGAGGCTGGCAGCCCCGCAGCCACCTGCACGGCCACACACACTATGAAATCACGGAAAGCACACTGGTGGGATCCTGGATCTCCTAGAAGACCTCTTCCCACAGGGGTGGGCTCTCTGCTCCCCCTGCCAAGGGCCTGGGCTGAGCACGGGGAAGCACCCAGTGAGGCCACACTCTGGGCGACAGGTCAGTGGCACACACAGGATCCCCGAAGCGTCTGAGGATGTGGTCCAGGCTGACTTGCCCTCTGAGACTCCAAAGCGAAGTAGTACAGAGCAGGGCCAGTGGCCAGCAGGGGGACCTGACCCACAGGAGCAGCCAGCTCCCGGGGCCACAGGCAGCCCCAGCTCCTCCCAGTGACCCCCGCGCAGGTGTGAGCCCACCCTCAGCATTGTGTCCAGCTCTGACTTAGCTCTCCCACACCACAGACCTCCATCTGTAGGCCTGGAGGCCAAGGGCAGCACTGGGGGCTGAGGCCACACACAGAGCCTCAGGACAATCAAGGCGCCAAGCACCATCAGGTCACAGGGTCACGCCTACTGGTCACCAGAGCAGCCCTGCTCCCACCCTGAGAAGCTGACCTCAAACTGGATCAAGGCCACTTCTGTTCTCCCAGGTGGCCACATCCCCACCTCCCAATGCATGCCCCTCCTTGGGCATGATGGCCACGGGCCTCTCCGTGGGACCCAGCCAGGCTGGACCTCGCCAGGAAGGATGGCGGCTGGTGCCCCCAGGCCAGGTACAGACTACCAGTCAGCTACCACCTGGCTTCTGCAGGGACAGTCGCTCCTAAAACAAGACTGCCATGCTGTGAGGAAGCCCAAGCCACACAAGGTGTCCCTGCCAGTCACACACGAGGAAGGGGGCCACCACACACACTCCAGGCCCAGCGTGGCCCATGAACCCTGAGAGCACAGGAGACAGGACTAACACAGCTGCTTGGCGGTGTGGGAGCTGGAGAGGGTAATCCAAAATGCAGGCCAGGGAAAGGGAACCCTCACCGCCCACCTCCTCCCCACCCACACCCAGCCCAGGAAGGTGCTGGGCACCCCAGCCCCACCCTCTCTCCTCCAGGAGCATCTGCTCTGGGTCAGCCAAAAACAGGTTCTACTTGTCCCCACCCATGCAGTCACCAGTCCAGCTAGGACACGAGATGGCACAGGATGGTCAGGTACATAGCTGGGGGCATCAGGGAGAGGGGACAGGGCTGTTCGACCTGGACCAGGGATGGGCAGGGGTGGAACAGCTCTCAGGCAGAGCCTCGAGCCCAGGTCCCTGGAGACCATGCCACAGCCCGGCTCACAGGGCAAGGCTGGGTTTCTTCCTGAGGGCATCAACCCGTCACTGGCTTTGCAAAGCAGTCAAGGCCAGTGTGCTCATATTCACAGAGCTGCACCAGCATGGCGATGGGCTCCCATCCTGCACTGTGGCACTGATCACCTCCAGAGCAAAATGCCACAGGACAATCAAGGTGCCAACAGCACAGACGGAGCACCGTCAGGTCACAGGCTCACTCCTACGGATTACCAGCAGGTGGCTATCACCACTGCCCACTGCCCACTGTAGAGACGAGAACACTAAGGCCAAGTCCTTCTGCCATGTAGGTTCTGGGGTAGGTAAGACCTCTGGGACAGAGGCTGCAGAGGCTCAACACGCTTGTCAGTCCTCGATGATCAGGGTCCCTCTCAGACTCTAAATCCCCATGGGACAGGGTCCCCAAGGCCAAGCATGAAGCCAGGGTCCAAGGGCCAAGGGCCTTGTGAAAATTAAGGCAAATCCACTCAACAGCCGGGCTTGGTGGAGCCAGGAGGATCGCTGTGAGCTGAGGGCAGCCTGGGCTCCATAGTGAGTTCTCAAGGTCAGCATGAGTTACCCAGCGAGAGGCTGTCACAAACAGACTCTCAACAGGGCTCCAAGTGAAACAGGGCAACAGACCACACTGCTGCCTGGAGCACTCCAGAAACCTCACGGGGCAAGGCAGAAGCAGCAACCCAAAGCTGGTAGATCTTAGGACAGCTGGCTGGAGTCCTGACCCACACAGCCAAGGCACAACCACTTGCTAGGCTGGGACTGCTCAAGTGCTACCCAGCTCCCGTAAGCTAGCGACCACTGAAGCAGCCAGAACACCCATCCCACCGTGCCACCAAAGGGACAGGACACCTGGCTTCTGCCTCCCAAACTCGAGGCCAACAAGCATCCCCACGAGGACTGTTTCCCTAAACAAACGTTCCTTGAGGAAAGAGAATTAAGTCTCGGAAGAATGCTCTGGACTCAGCCACCCAGCAGAAGGTGGGAATTGCTGGGTGAGGTCTAGCACCCCAACATCTACACCCCCTGCACAATACTGGGTCTGTGGCAGCCCAGAGAAAGCCGCTGCCTGGTGGAAAAGAATGGTCAGCTAGTCCTGCCGGCCACATCGGCCACCCATGTTAAAGCCCAGACACACACTACTCAGATCAGACTTCCAGTCTCCGCTTCTGCAAGGCTGCTGCATCTCTCCGCTTGGTGCCGTCTCCTCTCTGGGACTCATGGGCTGCATGCTCGAGACCAGGGTCATTTCTGGGATCTGCAGATCTGTTTTAATTTCTGCAGGACCAGTGCCCAACCCAGGGGCAGCACCCAGCAGCCACGCGCGGAGTCAGATTTATCCAGTCTGGGCAGCCACCACGCCTGGCACAATCACCTCTCTGCCTCCTCATCCGGACCCGGCAAGCACACGTCTGCCCTCTCCGGCCCACCATTCCCAAAGCCGAAGCTTCCTTCCTGGTAGGACCTGACTCGGTGCTACGTGTTGTCCATCTCTTGTGCCAGACGAGTTTGATCAAACATCGCAGTCCCAAACGCCCGATTTCTCAAGTCGCAAAAATTCTGCATTCCAAAACTCACAGCTGGCACCAAGTATTTCTGAGAAGTAACTCCATACCCGGGGCGGCGGGTCTACACTAGCCCTGCGGTCGGCCTAGTAGATCACCCACCCGCTGAGCCCGTCCCAGTCGGGGTGCAAATCCCACTCGTGTGCCCACCGGTGGGGATCGCGGTCCATCCCGGACTCTCCAGGGCCCAGCACTTAGCAAAGTTATCCAACGACCGCGTGGGGAAAGGGAAAGACGCCCTGGGCCCGCCGCCTCTGCCCCCCCTCCGCCCCCAGCCCCCAGCCCCCAGCCTCGGGCGTCCCCCGCCCCTCGGTTTCCCTTCTCCGCCCCCGCCCCGCCTCGGGCGCCCCCTCCCCTTCTCCCCTTTGCCCCGCCCGTCCCAAGCCCCTCCGCGCCCCGCGCCCGCGCATGCGCACTGCAGTCCGCGATGTGGCAGCCACGGGGTGGGGGGGCCGGACCGGGCCGGGGGCGGCAGCCGACGAAGCCCCGAGCCCCTCAGGCCCTCGAAGGGCGGGAAGACCGTGGTGCGGCCCCAGAGCCCCAGGGCGGGCTTCTTCGGCGTCGGGCCTGAGCAAACCTGACCCCAGCGGTGGCAACGCGGACACAGGGCTGGGGGCCGGCTCCCCCGGCCCGCTCACTCACCTCCGCCATGGCCGTGTGTGCGCGGGAGGCGGTGGCCGCGCCGGGATCCCCGGATGCGGAGCCGCACGCTCATTGGCCGCGGCCTTGGAGGGCGGGGCCGGGGCGGGGTCGGGGCGGGCCCGGGTGCGTAGTAGGTACGCGGGGTGGGGAGGGGTCTCCAGTGCGCGCAGCAGGTCCAGGGTCGGTCACGGTTCCGGGATATGCAGGGCTTGAGCCTGGTTGCGAATGGAGGAGGTGGCCCCTGCGCGTTCTAGTCCTGATAGTGACACCTGTGCGTGGACCCGTGGATCCTCCTGTTGCCTATGGGCGGGAGGAAGCCTTCCTGATGCTACCCTGGATGCTCAGAGTGGGGAGCGGGAGGCAGGGGCCCCCACCCTGGGAGTTTCGTAGAGCGGGTCGGTGTGCCAGGGGCCAGCCAGGCCTCAGGACCGTCGTTTCTCCTGGTGGGGACTCAAGAGCGCTCCTTTCCAAAATGCACCGCCGCGTGCTGATGCAGCTCGAAGGTCTCCGCTCCTGGGAAGTCTCCAGGGCGTGATCCTGCCCTTGTGGCCAGGATTTCTCAGGAGAAAAAGTGGGAAAGCTGTTTCTCTCCTTGCTCGCGTGAACTACGCTTGTGCGGGTGCAGCCTTCGACCGGATAGACGGACACCAGGAGAGGCTGTGTGACCGGGGACAGGGCCAGAGCTGTGGAGGCAGGCTTGAGTCAGCCTGACAGGACCAGAGGAGACTCCTGGGGAGGCCTAGGGGTGAAAGTGAGTCGCCAAGGAAAGGGATGAGATGAGGAAGGGAAGGGTGTCTTCAAGGTCGGAGAGTCCCTCCTGCGGACCAGGGACTTGCAGTGAGGACACAAGGCAGCCTGCTGACCAGGTGACACCCCTGAACCTGGCAGTGAGCGGCAGAGGCTTGACACACCCCGAGCCACACACAGCACCTTGGTCTTGCAGGAATCCTGAAGGAAACTTTGGCTTCCCGAGGGTTGCAGTCTGGTCAGCAAAATGCAAAATGCTGGGGCTGGGGATTTAGTTCAGCGGCATAAGCGCCTGCCTTGCAAGCCTGTGGTCATGAGTTCGATCCCTGGTACGGGTAAAAATTCAAAAAAAAAAGCAACATGTGACCCCAGGCCAGCCCCAGGGGAGCAGGGCAGTTGACAAAGGATGGTGGATTCCAGCCAGAATAAAGAGTTCAGGTGTAGATTTAATTACTGGGTCAGTGTTAAGGTTATTGAAATCAATAACTGCCCCATAGTTTGGAAAAAGGATATTCCTATTTGAAAATTGAAAAATGAAGTATTTAGCATAAATAACCACCTTGTACCCGGGCATGGTGACCCACGCCTGTCGTCCTAGCACTCAGAAGGCTGAGGCAGGAGGATCCTTGCAAGTTTGAGACCAACCTGGGCTACAAAGTGAGCTCAAGGCCAGCCTGAACTGTGTAGCAAGACTCTGTCTCAAAAAGACAAAAAAAAAAAAATAAAACAGCAGGCCAGGGATATAGCTCAGTGGCGTAGTGCCTGCCTGACAATTGCAAGGTCCTGGGTTCAATTCCTGGCATACAAAAAACATTATTTTAAAAAACAGCAAAAAAAAAAAAAGCAGGATAAAACATTAATAACTGAATTTGGGAATGGATATGTGGGTTTTTTTCCTTTTTTACTATAATTACTCTTGCAATTACTCTAAGCATAAAGTGATTTTCTAATGAAAAGTAGAAGATTCAATGTGACCTAACATGATTAAAAAAAAAAAAAGTAGAAGAAATAAAACCCAGGACACACAGGTCAGTGAGTCTCAGGCTGAGCCCGAGAGCTCATGGGTCAGGCCGGGAGCGACACTGTCTCCCTCGCCATCAGCACACTTTCCCCGAGGAGCAGATTTCAGGGCGCAGCTTGTAGGTCGCAGCAACTCTGGGAGGCTGCACTGTGCATCGGGTGCTCCAGCAGCACCCCCAGGCTGCCAGGTAGGTGATGAACAGAGCTACATCCCCAGAGTCCGCGAATTTGAAGAGAGCCACCCCACGGAGGAGGCCAAGCCTCCTGCAGAGAGACTGCCTGTGTCCAACAGTGTGTGGGTGACCAGCCACCTGCAACCAGTGGGGAATGGGCTGGAAGCCCCCCTGAGCCCCTCCAGGGTCTCTAAGGAGACGCCACTGGCTCTCTCTTCCCTCCGGGGTCACACTCCCCTGGCTCCCTGGGAGGGTCTGCGCTCACCCTTAAATCTTCCTGCCAATGATCCACCTCCTAAAGCCTGTGAGTCTCTGTCCTGGATCCTAACCTGTGACACAAAACGTAAGCAAGCTTGTCAAAGGAAAAGAAAAGCCAGAGGTGGTAAACATCCGTCATCCCAGCACTCGGAGGCTGAGGCAGGAAGATAGCCTCAAGTCTAAGGCCTGCCTGGGCTCCATTGCAAGAGTTGGTGTCAAAAAGGAAAAAAAAAAAAAAAAAAAGCTGGGTGTGGCGCATGCCTATAATCCCTGTACTTGGGAGGCTGAGGCAGGAGAACACTGTGAGTTCCAGGCCAGCCTGGGCTACATAGTAAGACCCTGCCTCGGGGAAAAAGAAAGGAGGAAAGGTTGGCGGGTCACAGGGCAAACACAACCCCAAGCTGCACAGAAAGCAGACCCAGCCCCACCTCCTGCAGGGTCCTCCCCTATTGGGACACCATCCAGGCACCTGTGTCACCTGGACAAGGATTCATCACTGTCCCCCCGCCGCCTACCACAGCGCCTGGGCCTTGTTACCCCAGGACACAAGTCTGGCCACCAAGGGCTGGGCTGTCCCCAAGGGTGAAGGGACACAGCTTTGTCTCCAGGAACAACCAGCCTTGGGGCAAGGATTTACCATGCATCATTTCTGTATTTTTTTGGTAACATTTTATATAACCTTCTTAGTTCTTTTTTTTTTTTTCTTTTTTGTCTTTTTTTTGAGACAGGGTCTCGCTATGCAGTTCAGGCTGGCCTTGAGCTCACTTTGTAGCCCAGGCTGGTCTCAAACTCTTAACGATCCTCCTGCCTCAGCCTCCAGAGTGCTGGGATTACAGGCATGAGCCACCATGCCAGGCTCAATAACCTTCTTAGTTCTATTCCTTGTGCCCAGCACTGTCCAATAGGAAAGAATATGATGCAATTTAAATTCTTTGAGTAACCAGATTTGTTTGTTTGTTTTGAGGCAGGGTATCACTGTGTAGCCCAGGCTGGCCTCGAACTCACAGCGATCCTCCTGCCTCAGCCTCCCTGAGTGCTGGGATCACAGGCCCGCAACACCACACCCTGCCTAGCTCTATAATGTTTTTATCAGTACCTGTTGGTGGGGTGTAATGATTACTGGGCCCTGGAGGGAGCCAGGGCAGAAGATGAGACACCTGGAAACCTTGGGGGAGATAGACACCCCTGCTGCAGGCTGGATCTCAGCACAAAAGGCAAAAGAAATGCAACCACACCCTGCGATAAACATCAGGGTTGACATTCTAAGTAGGTAGGGACTAGCCGGGAGCCACCATCCCAACCCCTAGGGAAGAGTCACTGCTGTCGTGTGACTGGCTTCCCCATTTGTCCCTGATTTAATCAATTGACCTGAACAGTTCATCTTATGGGCTGACCACAGTTCTGTCTCACCTCGTGCCCGCCTCCCCAGTTCTCCTGTTTCCCCACTTGGACCCCCTCACTTTGTGGTTTTGCTCTATAAAATTCCTATAGGGGAAAGACAGCGTCTGTGGAAACCCACTCAGGACCCTTTCTGTCTCCCAGACAGAAGCTTTCTCTCAATAGATTCTGCTCTTAACCTCCATTGTTCCGAAACTTCACTCTTCGAATTTTGAGAACACGGACTCTTCCGGGACAAGTAGTAGGGTGGGAGTTTCATTCCCCACGTCACTATCCCAGAGAAGGATTTTCAGGACTCATCAGAAAGACACAGGAGCAGGATTATCGGGAAGAGAGAGTGGGGCAAGCACCCAGGACAATGCTGCAGGCCCCCGGAGAAAAGGACCCGTTACAATTTGGAACTGAGCATGGATGGTTTTCTTGAGGGGTCAAAAAAGTAGCGGGAGGGGCTGGGGATTTAGCTCAGTGGCATAAGCGCCTGCCTTGCAAGTGTGCGGTTGTGAGTTTGACCCCCGGTACCAAAAAAAAAAAAAAAAAAAAAAAATAGCGGGAAAGGTCTCCACCCGTTTGAATGCTCTCCTCAAAACCAGCCGGTTAGAAGACATGTTTAAAAAAAAAATCACATTGGATAGATTAAAAAAAAAATGGTGATTTAGCTGGACGTGTACCTGTAACCCCAGCAATGGGGAGGCTGAGGCAGGAGGATCTCTGAGTCTGAGGCCAGCTTGCACTACCTGAGACCCTGTCACCCTCACCATCTTAGATACATTTCCACTTCTTTTACTGCCACGATCACTTTTAAATAGCACTGTCTGTGTTACTTTACATCTGCCACTTCTGATTTTTCCAACCCTTTCTTTGTGTGTGTGGTCTTTTTTGAGGCAAAGTTTCACTGTGTGGTTCAGGCTGGCCTTGAACTCTCCTGCCTCAGCCTGCCCGAGTGAGTGAGTGCCGGGCTACAGGCGTGTGCCCCATGCTTGGTGGAGAAGGAGATTTCAACTCATGAACTCGGGGGCCCCCAGCGAGGCCCAGGCCCCTCTCTAACCTCTGGGACCGCAGACTCCACTGTCCCTGCGAGCTGGTCACCGTGAGAATCAGTGAATTTGCTGTAGCCTGTTTGGGAGGTGACAGGAGACCCCTTCCTGAGTTTGAGGTGCATTTGGGGTGCATTTCTCAGGAGGGGAAATTGTGAGGCAAAGCAACAAAGTGTGATCTCGGGGGCGCTCAAGACCGAAAACCACTGACCCCACAAATAAGAGGGCTGCGCAGACCGCAGGTAGGATATAAAATTCAGTATTATTATTAGCCCCAGTCCACACACCCTGCACGGCCACCCTCCCCCCTCCCTCAGGGCCCAGAGCAGACACACACACAAGGATGGCACTTGGGTGTTTACTGGGGGTGACTGGCGCACCCGGTCACACTTTCTTGGTGATGCTTTTAGGAGTAGCGAGCTCATATAGGCGCGGGGACGCCTGGGCCACCAGGGAGGCCGGGGAGATGTAGTAGGGGTTGTAGTCCTCGTTGAAGCCCTTTCGGATTCTGGGTTGGGCCAGGGAGATGATTCGAGGAGTAGCCACAGCCTTCTTGGTAACATCCAGCACCTCCCAGCGAGGACTGCGGTCAGGGACACACTTTTCTGACAGGACTTTGGGCACTGGAGGGACAGGAGAGAGGGATGTACTGGAGCTCGGCTTCCTCCAGTCACAGCTCCAGATTCAAAAGGCCTGGTCTATGATGGGGGAAAGATGAACAGCACTGTCTGTCTCCAGATTGGAATACTACTCAGTCAGGAAAAGGAGGGATTTGATGTGTGCCACAGTGTGGAAAGACCCTGAGGACGCCGTGCCTAATGAGAGATGCCAGACACAGGAGATCACAAAGCGTGGCATCCCTGGGCAGCAAACACCCAAGACAGGCAAACCCAGGGACAGGAAGTGGACTCCTGGGTGCCACACGCTAAGAAACCCTTGCTCCGACCAAGGTGGGCCTCAAGTGTGGCCCCATCACAGATGACCATGCCCTGTGGCCTCCTCAGTCAGGTCTGAAAGGGTCCCCTCCTGGGCCCAGACCGAGTGTGAGCTGCCCAATTCCTGGGTAAGCAGCCCCTCCCCACCATATTCTGCATGCCATGGCTTGTGACCCTACAGACAGGTGACACCGAAGGTCACCAGAACCCAAAAGTGCTGAGATGCCAGCCAGCAGCCCGGAGAGTCCAGGGGCGGGCGGTGGGCAGTGCGGCTCTGAGTGGGGAGAGCCCTGAGCATCCAAGGCCCAGCGCCCTCAGGCAAAAGCAGCCCCACCTCTCTGGTCTGCCATCTGCACACAGACCGAATAGGGGTCCTCAGCTGGCTGGCTGGAAGCATTTTCTGGAAGCCGGAACTGGGACCCTGCCCTTCCGGGGGCCCAGAAGAAGGGGTGACTGTCACCTGCAGGCTGGGGAGTCAACCCATGGTCACGCATGGCAGTGCACACTTGTGGTCTCTGCACTCACAGGCAGGCGGCGAGTTCGTGGTCAGCCTGAGCTACAGAGCGAGACCCTGTCTCAAGGATGCCAGCAGAGCAAAGAAGGGCCAGCCCAAGGCCGATTTCACCCTGCACCCCACCAGGCGGCCACCGTGACGGAAGCACTGGGACCTCAGGTCCCCCATGCAGCAGCCCGAGTCAGGGTGAGGGGTGTGGTCCACTTAGCAGCCACCCAGGGGCAGGAAGGAGCCCGCAGGGGTGGACAGAGGCCCAGGAGGGACACCGCCGGGGAGGAAGCTGCTCTAACCGAGCTCCTCCCACTGAGGGCGGCTCAAACCACAAGCTGAAAAAAGTAAAAATAAAAATGATAAATAATTTTTTTTTAAATCAGAAGCTTGGGGGAGGACGGACAGGACCGAGACCCTGACCAGTCCATCACTGCCGTGGCAGAGCAGGGGACGCAGGCTGGCTTTTCAAGGCCTGTAACCACCCGGGCCTGGCTCCAGGTGGATCTCACACAGTGAACAGACAGACAGACAGGGAGACCGGGCCCCCCTCACAGGGCCAATCAGGGACCCCACTGAAGTCCCACCACGTAGCCCAGGCTGGCTTCAAAGTCACAGGATCCTCCTGCCTCAGCTTCCCGATGACTGGGCCAGCTGCTGTGACTTTCTTATTGGGTTTTTTTTTTATCTTGTTTTGTTTTGGGGGGCTTTGTTGCTTTCTTCTTTCTCCCTTTCTGCGTATCTGAACCCTCCCACACAGGTCACAGCCCCGCTGCGTCACTAGGAAGGAATTTTCGCTGTCCCAAGCACAGGGTGGCCCAGTAGACACCTGCGTCCCACACCGACCTGCCCACTGGCCTCCTCCTCTGCCCCTGCCAGGACCCTGCTTTTCCCCCCCGGGCTGGGCTCCCCCTGGCCTGGGTGAGCCAGGATGATCTGTCCACACCCCTAACAGCGGCCCACCCGTTAGGCAGACAGGCAGGGAGGGAAGAGTCACCCACAGGAGCAGGTCTCGAACCCAGAGCACCTGAGCTCTCACCCCGTCTACCCCAGCCCGGGTGTCTACTCACTGGCCAGCTGGAGGAGGCGGTTGTAGTCCGACACATGGGGCTTGGGTTTGGGCATGGGGTCCCACTCTGCCGGCAGGGTGGCTGGGGGCCTGGGCTTGGCCAGCTGGAGGATCCGGGCACTGGGGACTGCTGTCTGGGCTGCCCTGGACACCCGAGACACCTGGAAGGGGAGTGGAGGGGACAGTGAAGCGGCCGGCCAGTCCTCCCAGGCCCTGGAACAGGAAGACCCCGTGAGCAGCACAAAACGCTGAGAGGCAGACACAGGTGGGGGCTGTCACATATAAAGAGTTCCCGAAGGTCAATGACAAGAACTCCCAGGGGGAAGATGCTCTGGGAGAGAAATCCCCAGGTCAAATTCCTCTCTGATGTCTACAGAGACCCGTAAACCAAAGGGAAATGGATCACTGCCTGCCTATGAATTCTGCAAAAATTTACAAAGCTTGACATGATTGCACCTTGGCAGGAAGTGGGGAGGGAAGAGACCCTTGTGTGCCACCACCCCCAGCTTTTTTCTTTTCTTGTCCTTGTTGAAGGGAGCTCGGTTTGGGGGACTTGGCATGTGCCTGTCACCCAGGGCTCTGGGAGGCTGAGGCAGGAGGATCGAAGTTCCAGCCCAACTCGGGAAACTTAGAGACTTAGCAAGAATATGTCTCAAATTACAAATTTTAAAAAAAGGAGGCTAGTGGGCTGGGGATTTAGCTCAGCGGCTTAAGCGCCTGCCTGGCAAACATCAGGTTGTGTGTTCAATCCCCGGTACCAAAAAAAAAAAGAGGCTGGGGAAGGAGCTCAACATGAAAGCATTTTGATGCTCAGGGATTATTAATTTCTCAGTCTGATCCTGGTCGCTGTTTTGAAAACATCCTGGTATTTGTAAGAGACCCCTTGAGTCTAAACTACATTTTTAAAAATTGGGGTCTGGCCTGGGCGTGGTGGCTCAGGCCTGTCATCCCAGTACTCAGGAGGGTGAGACAGGAGGATCGCTGTAAGTTCGAGACCAGCCTGGGCTACACAGTGAGCTCGAGGCCAGCCTGAACTGCATAGGGAGACCCTGTGTGACCACAGAAACAGGTGCCCCAGGATCTGGGAGGTGCAAATTAACTCCAGGAGGAGCAATCTGCACCCCCCCATCCCCTCTTGTTCCCGCACAGTGCTCCGACCTTAGGCTTATGGGATCCTGGCCCCGGGCTCCTCTCAGGCCCACACAGCTGCTTTGGGGGAGGTGAGGACCCACTGGGACCCCAAAATGCCGCTCTGGTTCTGTCACAGAGGCAAGAGAGCTGATGTCTCCACAGGGCCTAGCTGTCAACCTGCAGAAGCTGAGACCAGGGACAGGCAGAGGCCTCCCCAGGAAGATGAGCCTGGTTGTCCCATTGCGGGGGACAACCAGGCCCCCATGGGGTAAAAGAAGCCAGGCTGTGACCCCGTCTCCTGGCACGGAGGAAGCAGGACCCAGCAATGGTGCCAGCACTTTGGTTTGGTTTGGTTTTTGAGACAGGGTCTCACTCTGCAGTCCAGGCTGGCCTTGAGCCCGCTCGGACCTCCGGCCTCAGCCTCCCCGAGTGCTGGGATGACAGGCCTGAGCCACCACACTCTGGCCCCAAGCCCCAGCTCAGGGAGAGTCCTGACTCAGCCTCCTGACATCTGGGCCCACAATGGTGACCGCACCGACCTGAGGACCCCTGGCCCATCCTCGTCACCTACCTCCGACATGTTGATGCTCCAGATGTTATGGCGGACCCGCGGGGTGGCCAGCTCCTTCAGCCGGCTGGACGGGCGGCACTCCAGGGTGGCCCGAGGGACAGGCCAGATGGGAGAGGCCCTGGGGGAGGCAGTAGCTAAGACCCAGCCTTGGGGGGGGGCAGGGGAATCTGGGGACCCTGTGCATGCAGGGGACCTGTCAGCACCCATTTCTGGGAGGAGGGGGACCCAGGAACAAGGGACTTGGGAAACTGGGTCCAAGGAGGCCTCCAGGACTGCAGGCCCCAGGGCCATGGGGCAGAGTGGGGGTTGTCACCCTCACCTGCAGCTGTTTAAATATTCCAAGTAGAATCTGCGGGGCCGTGCCAGCTCCTCCACGCGGCGGGACACGGCTGCGCAGAGAGGAGTGGGCCCGGTCAGCCTGGATGCCGCCCCTCCCCCACCGCTGGTCCCACGAGCTGGGTCTGATACAGCTGGGCACAGACGCCTAGGGGGAGGGGACCCCTGCTGCCCCATCTGGGAACAGCGGCTCAGGGCTCCCGGAAGAATCAGAGATGGGGTTCAGGACTCAAGGTGGGGAGAGGGTCAGCTTGGACTTGCAGAAGGAAGAGAAGAGAGATCCCCAAAAGGAGGGGCCTGAGGCCGGGGAAGGGCAGAAGGCTGGGTCTCTAAAGCCCAGAAAGACTGGGGTGCAGGCGCTGTAGGCTGCTGGGGGGCAGGAGAAGCACCTAGAAACCAGAGATGGCCCCCCTGGGGATTTAGCCACACCGAGACACACGAGCTATGGGATACTCTAAACAACTGGAAGTAACCCCAACTTGAGGACCTGCCGTGGCCTTGAGCCCCCCAAGAACCAGCCTGCACCCCACACCCATGACTGACGGGGCTCCAGGTGCTCCTGGGCCCAGAGTTCCAGCAGAGGCCACTCCGGGGACGCATCACCTACCAGGCAGCGTGATGGTCAGGGTGGTATCCTCCAGAAAACGCTCTGTCCAGTACACGGAAGGCCTGGAACACAGCCAGCAGCTTAGGGCAGGGAGCACAAAGGCCGGGCCCCACCCTGCTCTGGCAGGGAAGCCAGACCAGGTGGGCTGCAGATAGCAGGGGTCACAGGGGGGACCAGAGAGCGTGTGGGACAGCTGGGCCGGGCTGGGGAAAGGACATTAGCGTTCCTGGGAAACATAGGTCATCTGGAGCAGGGCGGCTATTCAGAGGGGACCCCTGGACAAGACAGGGACAGCTGAGATGGCCCCGGGCTAGTGAGCAAATGTGGTGGCACATGCTTGACATCCCAGCACAGCACTCCAGGAGGCTGAGGCAGGAGGGTCTCCACATCCCAAGGCACAACCTGGGGCAGCTCAGCTATGTAGGGAAACAGGGTCTCAAAATAAAAATTAAAAACAGGGGGAAGACCAGGCCTTCAAACGCAGGTGAAGCCTGGCCGGCCCTTAGGGCACAGGTGCCCCGTTGGGAGCCCCCCCCTTGCTGGCCCTGGACCCTCCACGGTGGGCCCTGCGCTGCGGTGGCCCCTGGTGCCCGACTCACCAATAGAGACAGAAGTGTAAGCTGTTTCTGCACGGCGAGATCCACACGAAGCCCTCACAGCAGCGCCCCGGCCTGCGAGGAGACGCCCCGGCCCCACTGTGGCTGGGGCGCCCCCTCCTCCCCGGCGGCCACCGCACTGTCCTTCGGACGCCGCCCAGGGGCCCCTACAATCCCCACCTTCGGGGTCCTGGCCTCTGGCTTCCCCCGCAGCCCGCCAGTGCCCTGCCCCAGGTGACCAAGGCGGTGACAGCTCAAAGGGGGATGGGAGAACAGGACGGGGTGCCGGGCGTCCACTCACCTGTCCCTGACCACCTGCCAGTCCGTCTTGGGCTTCGCCAGCTCCTGCAGCCGCCGCCGCCGCCGCCGCTGCCTGCCTCTGGGCACTGGGGTGTCGGGGTACGGCTCGGTGATGGTCAAACGGCTGTGGGGCGGACGGTGGCAGCGACTAGGTCACCAGCCGCCGCCTGGGCCCCCACTTCATCCCTCCATGGACGTGGCCAGCCCTGCCTGCCGGGCAGCGGCCGGCGCCAAGGACCGTCCCGTCCGCGGGCTCGCGGGTGTTTATTGAGCACCTTCTGAATACCAGGCCCAGCCAGGAGCTGCGCAGGTCCCAGATGCCCCCACCCAGAGCCTCAGGACCTTTGCACCTCACAAAGGCGGCTGGATTGTAGGGGCTGCAGCCGACTGGCTTCCGGAGGTGGGGGCGGGAGCAGAGAGGGCCAGGGGGCGTGGCTTGGAAGGCCTGAGCTTCCTCCCGCCCCACTCCCCTCTCTGCACCCCGCCAGACCCCTGCAGCCAGCTGGCTCAAACCTCTCTAAACCGCGGGGAGCAGAAACCTCTCCTCCCAGAAGCTGCGGCTCCCCCATATTCCTGCCCACTGGAAGGTCACGGCCCCTCTACCCTGGCCTCGGCCCTGGCCCCCACCTCATGGTAATGTCCGGCTCCCAGTCCCCGTGCAGAGCCGGCTCGGGCTCCAGCAGCGCCTCCTCGGGAGCCAGGGTCTTCGAGGGCCGCTCCCCGGCCACCTCCTCCAGGGGAAGCTCCCTCTCCGGCTCCCCCGGATCTGGCGTCGTAGCCTCGCTTGGCTCCCCGAGCCAGTTGCTCCGGTAGGAACCGCTCTCCTCGCCATCCCCTGGCTCCACCTCTGATCGGCTCCCAGCCCTCCAACTTTGCCTGCGCTCCTCCATGGGCGGACCCTCCCGCCCAGCCTGGCTTCTTCCCTCCACACCCAGTGTCTGTGGTCACCCGGGCAACAAGAGAATGCCCTGCCCACACGCTGCACAGTCGCATTCCAAAACCAGCAGCTAAGGGTTGAGTGGGCAGCAAAGGCCAGGGCCAGGGAGCCCAGGCCATTTTAGGGTACTTTAGGAGTGAGGCCTGAAGGAAGTGTGGCCTTGACTTCCTTTCTCTCCAAAGCAGACACAAGGAGACACAACTTCTTTTTTTTTCTGGTTACTGTCGGACCTGTCTGTGATGGCTGGAGCTCAGGCAGCCATGACTGTGAGGCCTGCTGGTCTGAGGACTGGTGACCCAAAAGGTGAATGTATGGTGATATTGTTGAGCCTCTGCACTTAGAAAACTTGGAGGCTGCTCTCTGGGCTTCCTGTTACTCAAACAAATCACTTTGTATGATATCATGTTTGCTGGGTCTTGGGTCCTCAGAGCCCAGAGCACTCTTCACTGATTTGGACACTTCCAGACCCAGTTTTTCATAAGACATAAAATCAGCCCCTTTGGGACAGGCCGTCCTGCATCTTCAAAGTAAGATCATCACCAAGAGCTTTCCGTCCAAGCACAGAGAAGAGCTTGCCAAGCAAGGTGGGTTCTTAGGCTCAGTTCAGATGGAAATCAGGGCTCGGCAAAGTGAAGCACTGGTAGCAGTCCTGGTCACCAGAAAACGCTGGGTGCCAACAGCTGACACAGCTGGGGCTGGACTCCGTCACTGCCAGCTGCCACCAACTGGCACCGACTTGTGCTGGACACTGCACAGGTCGCCATTGGCCACTGGTTCCTGGAGCTCTGGGACTAACGGCCCTTAGGGTTTAAGGCTGCTTCTTCTGAACCAACGTCTCTGTCCACACTGCTCAGGGTTAGAGTCCCAACCAGCTTTGCAGGACTTCTGGAGGCCCCATTACTTGAGACATAAACAGCCAACCAGCTTACAGGACCACTGAAGCGAGTCTTTCCGTTAGGACTGCTGCATGCACAGGGGCCGGTGCCCCAAGGGAACCCTCCTAGACTAACCCAAGACCGGTGTGTTTGTGCGGGGGCTGCTTATATACCAGCTGCAGGCCCGTGATTGGTCCAGGCCTTCAGGACAGGGTCAGCTGTCATGGCAACCACCCAGTGAGGGGCAGGGCTAAAACCAGGGAATCTTGTAGAAGGCTGGCAGCAGCGGCAGGGGGTGGGGTGAAGATGTTAACAAGGACTCCAGCTTCCTTGCTGCCTGATTTTGACCATGCCGGGTGCCCCCTCCTTTCTCCAAAGGAGGCAGCACCAAGAAAGACGCTGAAGTGAGTCATCCTATTCCACTGGGGGGAGGGGGGAGGGGAGTGGGAGAGAAGGGAGAGGAGAAGAGGAGAGGGAAGGGGAAAGGGGGAGGGAGAGGGAAGGGGGAGGGAGGGGAGAGGGGAGAGAACGGGATGGGGAGGGGAGGGGGGTTTGGCCCAGATCCCTCCGCCTCCCACCTGCTGCCGGGGCCCCAGTTCTCCTCCCGCTTTGGATCCAACTGCGAACCGAAACCTCCACAAACTGCAAACCAAACAACGCTTTTCTCTTTTAACTTTGGGTGTCGGGGGTTTTGTCTCAGCCAGACTTGGGGGCCTGAAGGGAAGGAGTCACCATGACCCTGAGCCCTGGGTTGTGCTGGGCTGTCACATGTGCGGGTATCACCGGTCCCCAAGGGGTCCCCAAGGGTCCCCGAAGTTCCCTGTACCTGTGGGTGACAGGCTCCGGCTCTGGGACCAGGGCAGCTGCTCCTGCTGCCCTTCCAGCCTGGGGTCCCCTTCCCCGTCTCCCCCGTGGCTCAGCAGCTCCTGAGGCCCCTGCACCCTCACTCTGCTACGCCTCAATGTCACCTTTCCTGACCCCTGATTGCCTGTGTCTCTGGGCACATCTCTGGGCCTTGTGGGTCTCACGGCGCTGAGGGCATCTTGGCTTTTTGACGGCAGCAGCTGAGGCTTCCAGGATCTTCAGAAAGCGGCATAAGCACCTGCCTGACGAGTGTGAGGTCTTAAGTTCGATCCCTGGTACGGAAGGAAAATAAAAAGCAGCCAGGGCCCTGCAGAGCTGCCCCACAGCACCCCCATGCTCAGGCCAAGCTGCGATACCCGCAGCTGCCACGAGGTGCCGCCCCAGTCAAGGGCGTGCTGGTCTCCGCGGCCCTCAGTGGGACCACGGGCTCCGGGACAGAGAAGGTGCTGTGCGCTTGGGCACCATGATCATCCAGCACTCAGGAGGCTGAGGCAGGAGGGTCGGCGTGAGCTCAAGGCCAGCCTGGGCTAGTGAGACTATCTCAAAAAAAAAATCTGTTTATGCCTCAGCCACCCAGCACCCAGGGCACAGGTGACAAATGTCACCAAGCACTTCTCTGTCATCGGTCTGATCCCGCTCCCCCATGCTCTTGTACGCTGGGATGTTTTCCCTGTGACCTCAGCATGCATGTGACAACCAGAATGTGGTATTTGCATGCCTTGGAGTACTACTCTGCCGTAAAGAAAGATAAAGCGGGGTCACTTGCAGGACAACATATGTGCCTGGAGACCCTAATGTGAAGCAGAATAAATCAGACAGACAAGCCGTGGTGGGTGGACAGCCGGTGGGAAGCCTGCGACACCCAGGTGAACTGAAGTCCCCTGGGGATGGTCACCAGCATAGAGAGGAGGTCGGGAGAGGAAGAATTGGGTGCTGTGGGTTCAGCTCTGGTCCTTACTTTGAGCGTTGCTTCCTGGCTCCGGGGCAGAACCCCCAGCCTGCTGGCCCACCTCCTTCACCCCGCTGGTGCAGACTTTCTGGCTCCCACCACTGAGCTCCGGGCCTCCTCAGTGCAGATCCCTGATACAGACTTGCACGGGACATTGTCATGGGCTCTCGGTCTTCAGCTGGACTCCTGCAGGACGTTTCCATGGGGTCCAGGTCCTCAGCTGGGCGCTCTGGGTCTTCAGTGTATGCCAGGATTTCTGTGCTTTTTCATATTTAGTTCTTTGGGTGACTATTATAAAATAATTCTATAAATTATGTGCCCTGTATTAAATCGTTTCCCTTGCAAACCCGGATGATCACACAAGCTTAAACATCACACAGTTTCTCCTCTATGAGGGCCCCAGAGTACAGATAAATTAAAGAGTAACATGAAAGGTAGATGGCAGGAAATAGGGAGAGAAAGCTTATGTGACAAAGAAGGGGACCAAGAGATGGGGGAGGGGCAAAGAGGCTGTGAAAAGCATTCAGATGTGTCGCCTGTGTATGCTCATAAAATTTGAAGAGAAATTTTGTGGGCTCTGCACTATGGCCCACCCGGTGTCCCTGGCCACCCCACAATCTCCTCATGGCTGATTCCTGGCCTGAGTCCTGGGCAATGTTTGGACTCACTGTGTAGCCCAGGCTGGTCTCGATCTTGCAGAGATCCTTCTGCCTCAGCCTCATGAGTGCTGGGATCGCAGGCGTGTCCCACAAGCATCTTTGGTCTCTTCCAGTCTGGAAGAGTTTTCCTCTGTGTCCTATCACCAGCCAGTTATTTCGCAAAGAACCTTCGGTGTTTTAACAGTCCGCATGGTCAGGCTGAGGCTGGGCAGCTGGACTGTCCCCTTCCGATGCCAGAAAAGATTTGCGCGCACACTCAGGGATTAAAACAACAGAAACACATTCTCCTGTAGTTCTAAAGTCACAAATCTAAATCAAGTCGGGTATGGTAGCTCACGCCTGTCATCCCAGCCCTCCTGAGGCTGAGGCAGGAGGGTTCCTACAAGTTCAAGGGCAGTCTGGGCTACAAAGCCCAACTCTGTGTCAAAAACAAACAGCCAGGCGTGGCCCTGAACACCAGCCTCCAGTGGCCTCAAGCCGCTGCCCTCAGGGACTCCCAAGGGCCACAGCCTGGGAAGGACGCATGCGCACTGGGCTACCGAGCTCACCAGACATGGGCTAGAATCCAGGGCCACCAGCACAGCCACAGCCCTGCAGCCATTCACCCACGTGCATACTGAGCAGGGAGGCACTGGGGACCCAGCCACAAATTCCTGCCTCCTGGAGCCAGCAGATTAGACAGGGGTGTGGGGTTAATGAGTCACCAGTGGGTCTGCAGGGGAGGGATGGGGAAACGGGAGGAGAGGGGGCGGCGGAGGAGGAGGAGTTCAGTGTGACTCAGCTGGGGAAGGGAGCTCCGGCAGGTTGAGGGTACGGGAAAGAGGGCTGGGCAGGCTCAGGAGTGGGAGAGGGGCAGGGAGGATGGGGAGGGCAACAGGGGCTGATAAGACTGACAAGAAAGATAAGGATGATGGAGAATGACAGAGGATGGAGGATGCTGGGAAAAGAATAGAGGACTATGGGTGATGATGGAGGAGGATGGAGGATGATAGAAGATGATGGGGGTGATGGAGGATGGCAGAGGATGCCGGGAGAAGAATAGAGGATTATGGGTGATGATGGGGGATGATGGAGGATGATGGCAGAAGGACAGAAGATGATGGGGCAATGGTAGAGGATGGGGGATGATAGAGGACAATGAGGATTGATGGGAGGATGATAGAGATGATGGGGATGATGGGTAATAGTAGAAGATGCTGGGAGAACAGGGGATTATGGGTGATGATGGAGGATGCTGGGAGAGAACAGAGGACTATGGGTGATGATGGAGGATGGCAGGAGGATGAGGAGGAGAATGCGAGGAAGTCTGCAGGGCCGATTGTTGCCGTACCTGGCGAGGCACGCAGTGAGATGCTTCTGGGAGATTTTTGCCATCTCTCTTTAATCAGGATATTTTTGCAGACAGTCACAGACTGACTTGTGTACAGAGCTCAGTGAGCTTTTCGTTTCCAGTAGAATTCACATCAAATAAAATTAACCATGGTTTTTTTTTGTTTGTTTGTTTGTTTTTTTGTCTTTTTCGTTTTTATCGGTACCAGGGATCGAACTCATGACTGCCTGCCTTGCAAAGCAGGTGCTTATGCCGCTGAGCTAAATCCCCAGCCCCTAATTAGCCATCTTAAAACTATCGATTCACCATATTTTATTTTTAAAATGTTTCAAAATATTTCTTTTTTTTTTTTTTGTACCAGGTATTGAACTCACGACCTCAAGTTTGCCAAGCAGGCACTTACACCGCTGAGATAAACCCCTGGCTATTTTCAAATTTTTAAACCAAAATTGACATGCTCGGTGTGGTGGCACACACCTTCCATCCCAGTATTCGGGAGGCTGAGGCAGAAGGATTGCTGTGAGTTTGAGGACAGCCTGGGCTACACAGTGAGCTCAAGGCCAACCTAAAACTACATAGCAAGATCTTGTCTCAAAAAAAAAAAAAAAAAAAAAAAAGAAAAGAAAATTCAATTTAAAAAAATTTTAACTCCTGCCTCCAAAACCAACTTATCACACCTACTGCCCACAAAATAAGGAATGCACGATGTGTTCCAGACCAGACTCCCAGGGCTTTCCATCCACCTCTACCACCTCCTCTGGGGAGCCTCTCCGGCCCTCTTGCTGATGTCCACTGCCTGTGTGAGGACTCTGGTGGGTCGGAGCCCAGGAGCAGTGGGCGCTGTCCACCTCGCCACCCCCTGCCTGTGGGGGTCTGGATGTCAGATGGAGGACGAGGCTGGGGGCCCCTGGGCTTCCTCACAGCACGGCAGGGACTCCATGCAGGAGTGGAGATGCCACAGAGACCGTGGGTGCCTTTCAGGACCTGGCCCTCGCGGTCACACCACTCTGCCTTGTCCTGTTTCTGCAGCAGCCTGAGCTCCAGGCAGGGCACCCTGAGTCCCCAGGAAGGGCCAGGCGCCAGGGAGACAGGAAGGTGACCCTCCTGGCACCCTGATGGAGCCAGCTGGGAGCTCTGCAGCCAGATGACACCCGCCCAGCGGCGACAGCATGCAGCCAGCCCTCAAGTCACTCAGGGGAGGACAAGTCACCAAGAACTCAGCAAGGAACAAGGCCATGTGCCCGCCCAGGGTCACTGAGCCCAGAGCTCTCTGGCAAGGCCCTGTGTCCCCCACAGGCTCTACATAGTATGAGATCAGCCCCCCCCCAGCCCTCACCAGGGAAACAGACAGGGAAGGGAGCGGCATGCTGGGACATGAACCCAGAGCCACCGGCAGCCCTGCGGCCAAGGGTCAGGACGTCTGGTGGGAGAAGCCTCCCGGCGGGCAACCACCCCACTCAGGGAGTGTGGTGTGGGTCCAGGCCCTGCCACCTGCCAGCCGGTGGTCCTGAGCAGATTACTTTGCCACCTGTGCCTCAGTTTCCCCACCTGTGAACGAGGTTAAGGGGCTTGTGGCAAGGACTCAGAGGGTCATCACCCACTCAGAGGGTCATCACCCACCCAGCAGAGGCTTAACAACAGGTTTTTAAGAGACCCAAGAGAGAGGCGCACGTGACACCCCTATTGTACAGAAGGGAAACAGGCTGGGAATTTGGGGGTGCACATCAGCTGCAAAACTGGGAGCTGCACACGCCCTTCCCTCATTTATTTATTTTTGAGACAGGGTCTTGCTATGTAGCCCAGGATGACCTCAAACGCCCCGTGACTCTCCTGCCTCAGCCTCCCACGCGCTAGGATGATAGGCGAGCACCTGGCTTCCTCTTTTTTCCTGAAATCATTTTTCTCCTCTCAGCCTCCCAACCCACAGTGGCTGAGAAACCAAAGGCAGCATGAGCCCCTCGCTGGGGTGTGAGGACCCTGCCAGAGGGAGGGGAGGGAAGCCAGGCTGTGCTGGGCGGAGCAGAAGCCTCTGACTTACGCCCTGATGCGATTACATTAATTATCATTCCTGCCTTGTGTGTGGATTGAGCTTTGCCACGCAGAGCCCAAGGCCACACCACGGCGTGGAAACCGGGGCTTGCACCCCTCGCCCTCTGCTCCCCAGCTGTCACCGCGAGGGTCTCAGGGCTTCTGCAGCGGGGCTGTGAGAGGAGCTTTGAACAAGCAAAGGCGGGGCCCAGGGGCTATGGGCGTGGCCTAGGGTGTGGGCGTGGCTATAAAATCATGGGGGCGGCTCTAGGAACTTATGGGGTGGGGCCTAGTCACCTTGGAGGCGGGGCCTAAGGAGCCATGGAGCGGGGGTCTAACCACCACGGGAATGGGGGCTAAAGAGCCATGGGCCGGGGCCTAGGGAGCTATGGGTGGTCTCAGGCCAGTGACACAAGCCAGAGGGGATCACAGGACGCCCTCCCTCTGCCCCTGCAGCCATCCCAACACTCCCTCCTCTCCTGTTTCGATTGTGCCCCTTCCCCAGAGCCCTGTTTTCTGTAGGGGCTTGCTCTTCCTCCCCAACTCTGCAAGGTGCACAAAGCCTAGCTTCGGTCAAGGGGCTGCTGGGTTCCTGCTTCTCTTCCCCACACCAAAGTAGGGCTACCCTGGGGTTGGGGTGCCTGTTGCTCACTGCCTCAGTATTCTGTAGTGTCGATGCAAGGGTGTTAAGCTGGCTTGAGCAAACCCGCCCATTAACCAGTGGGTAGTGTGCAGCTGTGGACTTCAGGCATGGCTGGCTCCAGGTGCCAAGCCCAGCTCTGTGCCTTATCTCTAGGCTCCACTGCACCCTGTACCTTCTTCCTGTGTTCACTCAAGGGACCCCTGAGCTGGGTGACTCAGGATGCTTGGGATGACAGCAAGGCTGTGGCATATGACACTGCTGATGACAGCCTCACATCCTACATCACACAGAGATACGGAGGGTGCAGGCAGCAGGCAGCAGAGGCCTTCCTTAGGGGTTGCCTTGGGTGGAAGGGAGGGCCAGCCACAGGTGGTGGGGGAGGCGGCACAGCCTTTGGGGGCCCAGAGGTGTGAGGTGGCTAGGTCCCCAGCACAGACACATGCCTGTCATGCAGGCACAGGACACACACACAATGCCATTACCCACCCCATGGCCCAAGAATGCATGTGGAGGGAGGCATGGGGTGACAGAGCGCGGCCTGGGGTCACAGGAGGACCCTGTCACACTGTACTTCCTGGAGCCTGGATGTCAGGATCCAGAATGACCTGGACTCTAGGGGCTGATGTGGTCAAAGGGCAAAGGGCAAAAGCCCTTCCCCAGGGGAGCCCCTGAGTGCTTCCCGGAGGTACGGAGCAGAGAGCTGTCTGGGTCCCTCTAGGTCAGGCTGCAGGACCTGGGTGGGCCAGCCCCTGTCCGGGTGTCCTGTGCATCTGGGAGTGTCCACGGCACTGTGAGGGGGGCACTGATAACTGCTCCTGGTGCCCCGACCTGCAGAGCCCAGGGTGAGCCCAGCCTGTTTCCTGCCCCCCCCCCAACTCAGGGCAAAGCTCCACTCCTCCGATTACTCAGTGAAGCAAGCCGACCTCCACCCCCGCAGCCCTGAAACACCTTTATTGCACTAAAAACAGAATTTATAAACAACACACACTGGAGGGCGGCGTCTGACAGTCACCCGCAGCCGGCTTCTCACACACAGATATCAAAACAGCCACAAATATAGAAAACGGGAACCCCCCTGCCGGGGAGGATAGGGCACAGGGTCCCCACCGTAGAAGGGAGGCAGCCACGAGCTCCAAGCGTCCAGCTCCATGCAGGGCCTGTGGTCTGCGGCCCAGGTTCGGGGTCGGGGTGGGGGTCAGGTGCAGACAGGGGCTGGGGCCCAGCAATCACAGGGCGCAGGGCCACACTGGGGCACAGCCAAAATCCAGGGCTCCCTCCAGGCCAGGGAGTCACAGCCGCAACCAACCCTGGTGGGGTGCGGACACCAAGCCAGGAAGAAGAGACCTGGTGAAAGAGGGGGATGGCCAAGGAAGGGGACGCCATCCCACAGGGCTGTCCTCCCGGCAGTGACCGCCCACCTGTGAACTGGCAGAGTTTGTGGAGGAAAAAAAAAAAGCCTGAGAACCATTTAAGGATTCATAGCAAAGCTCCATCAGCTGCCCGACCCCGGGCAAAGCCAGAACCAGGCCCAGGCCCCAGCCCGGCCCATGCCGATCCCACAGAAGGCCAAGCTGGGCGCTGGCTGGCAGGGGACAGGGGATAGGCCAAGCACAAGCGCCTCCTGGCAAGGGGCCCCTGTCCCCATCTTCCCAGGCTCCTGACTGACTCCAGGCTGGCAGCCACACAACCTCCTTCATCAAGAGCGGAGTCCGGGTGACCCGGGAGCCCCCAAGCCCCTCGCCTCTGAGCCTGTAGGCTGAGACTTCCCGGAGCCCGAGGAGGGGATGGCCTGTGTGGTGTCACCAGCTCCCCAGGCATCTGGGCGCTGCAGGGTGTCAGCCACCCCAGCAGGTGGCTGGGGAGGGCAAGGCTGTGCCACAAAGCAGTATGTCGAGCCTTGGGACCCGAGCCCCGGCCTCTAGGCCCTGCGGCCTCTCGGTCTCAGCCTCTCAGTCCTCAATTCTTGGGCTCCCGAAGACCTCTGTCCCCCATCCCAACTCTACGTAGAAGGGCGGGGTGGAGAAGTCTCAAGGGACCTAGGGGGACAGTCAGCTCTGCCAAGCCACCTGATGTGTTCCCCGAGGCCTGTCCTCCTCCTCCTCCAAAAGACCAGTCCATGAAAAGGACTTGTGTTTCCACCGGGGCCGGGACACCCCAGGGTCAGGTGCAGGCTGAGCCGAAGCCCATCTCCCCCTCACTCCACCCCGTGCAGAGGACAGGCTGCCTCACCCCGCCCCTGCACCCCATCCCACCCGCCTCACAGGCAGGGCAGCAGCGAGGTCAGGGGCAGCTCCTTCTCCCCAAGCAGCGTGTCCCGCTTCAGGCTGCTGCCCTTGTTGACCACCTTGATGCGCAGGGACAGCTTGGGCACGCTGGCCGGGCCCAGGCCGTCGAAGAAGAAGTCCTCGTTGAAGACGGGGTGGCGGCTGTTCTTGATGATGGTGCTGCGCTGCTTCTGGAGCTTCCCGGGGACCAGGCAGAGGCCCACGCAGCAATTGATGCTCCGGGCGTCCCAGGGCCGCTCGTACAGACCCTCGGCCACCAGCAGCCGCACGCGCAGCCGGGCCTGGGCCGCCTCGTACTCAGCCAGCAGCCGCACGCTGCCCCGGGGCCCCATGCGCACCGTGTGCTCCCCTCGGGGCGTCGCTGGGCCGGACTCGGGGCCCGGCTCAGGGGTGGGCCTGCGGGTCAGGCGACGGCGGACACCGGGGCTGGTGTCCGGGGTGCTGTCGTCGGCCGACAGCGAGCCGTGGCGGCCCACGGAGTGCTTGAGTTGGGTCACCTTGGCCTGGCCGTCCTGAGCGAAGCCCTTGAGCAGGGACACAGAGCGGGACAGCAGGGGGGACCCAAACGGGGAGGATTCGGCCGAGGACCCCGTGTCGCTCTCCCCACCGCTGAAGTAGCGGCCAGGGCTCATCAGGCCGCCCGTGGCCTCCCGCGACGCCCCGTCCCCCCCGTTGGCCTTGGCCCCCGCCCGCCGGCGCCCCGTCCCCGGGGAGCCCACCTGCGCCAGGGCCCCGTGCTCACTGTGGAACAGGGACTCCTTGCGCCGCGTGTGCGGGCTCTCGGCCAGCGTGGCGAAGCCGTAGGACGTCTGGGCCTTGGGCACCGACGGCAGCTCCAGGGCGCCCGGGGCGTCCTCGGCCGGCCAGTCCTCGGCGCTCTCGATCTGGATGACGTGGCGCGTGGCTGCCTTCAGCAGGCTCCTGCTCTCGGCGGCCAGCTTGGCGGGCAGCCGGGGGCTGCGCGGGCCGCGGCGGGGGGACGCAGCCAGGTTCTGCTCCGACGGGGACGGGCCCAGCTCGGCCGGGCCCTCGGCCTCCGCGGGGCCCGCGGGCAGCTTCGGGGGGATGAAGAAGTCCGGGATCTTGTCGGGGGTCAGCACGTTGCTGTACAGGGGCCCCTTGGCGGCCTTGTCCCCTGCCTCGCCCCCCGCTGCCCGGGTCCCGTTGTCCCCAGAGCCGCGGAGCCGGTCCAGGAACCACATGTTGGCCTTCCTCATGGGGGCGCAGGGCGGGAGGCCGGAGGGGACGCAGCGTCTGGGAAAGTAGGCGGGGAGGGCTCAGGGGGCACCCGTCCCCGGGGTGCGCGCGCCAAGGCCCGGGAGTGGGCACGGGGGAGGGCCACTCTTGGGGGGCTGAGACCAGGAGAGGGGTGGGGCGCTTCCCCTTCCCAGAGGGCCGGGGCCAACTTCCCAGCAGGCGCGGAGATGGGCGCGGAGATGGGCGCGGAGATGGGCGCAGAGATGGGCGCAGAGACGCACGCAGAATTGGAGAAAGAGCCCGGCTGGGGGACCAGGAGGTGTGGGGCCCGGGAGCGGGGAAGCACCCCGGGCGCCCCCCTTTGCCATCTCCCGGGTGGGGGACCCTGCTTCCTACGGGGCTGCGCGCCCCACGCCCAGGGGCGCAGGTGTCCCGGCCCCGCCCCCGGCGCCCGCCCACCTGTGGCTTCTCCGGGAGGCGGGGGTGGGGGAGGAGCGCGGCCCGGCCTGGGCGGGCACCGCGCGGGGTCCCGGCGCCCCCGAGCCGCCCACCGCCCGCAGCGGGGTCCCGGCCGGCTCACCTGCCTCGGCTCCAGACGCGGGGCTCGCGCAGGCCCGGCGGCTCCCAGCGCCTCCGAGCGGCCAGCGCCGCAGCCAGGCCCCGCCCACCGCGCCGAGCGGGGCGGGTCCGGAGCAGGGCGGCCACGGCCACGCAGGACCCGGGTGGGGCCCCCGGAAGCCGGCGGGGGGCTCCGGGCATCTGTGCCCTCCGGGAGGCCCCGGTCCTGCTGTTCCTGACCACCCTCCCCTCTCTGTTCTGGGGCTGCCCAGCAGGTCCAGCGCTGGCCCCTCTGTCGCTGAGGGGCCGTTCCTCCAGAGGTAAGGACGCCCCGAAGCCTGGTCCCAGCCCCCCAACACCCTCCAAGAGCTCTGCAGTCCAAGATGTAGGGATGTGGCGGAGGGAAGGAAGGAGGAGTCCCGTCCCCCACACCCCTCACAGGCGCAGACCAGGATGGGTCCTGCCAGCTACCCTGCCTCAGTTTCTCTCCTGGACCCAAGATAATGGCGTGCCTGGCCAGCGTGTACAAGGGGAGATACCGAGAGGACACAGGCACCTGGCTATTTATTCAGGGTTTTCTGAGGGCCTCCGATGTCCCAGGAATGTCCCCATGTCGCGCTGAGGTCCAAGCAAGGATAGGGCCTGGGTGGAGAACGCTGGAAGGTCAGGCCAGGAAGGGTCAGGAAGGTAGATAGGGCCCAAGAGGGCTGTGGTCCAGATGGGGAAATCGAGGCACACCGGAGCCATGATGCAGATGGTCTGTCTAGGTGACAGACACTTGGAAGAATGACACTTCCTCATTGCCTCTGGCCCAGAGCAGTCACTGGCTGGTGTCTCGGACCTCTTAGGGACCAGAGTTTCTGGGGGGAGGGTCATGGTGGCCTCTTGCTGCAGTATGCCGAGGTCAGGCCAGGTGGGACAGGGCCAGGCCTCATGATGCCAGGCCTGGGCACCAGGGCCTGGGCCCCAGCTGGGACGTGACACACTGCCCAGCGTAGGTCAAGGAACTCCAGACTTGGGGAGCTGCTCAGCTGGGGCCAGAGGCCAGTGCCCACACTGCTGCTGTGACTGCAGACACCGATGGGGATGGCCCTGGTGCATCCTCTCTTGCGCCCAGCTCAGCCTGCACCTTCCCCCCTCTCCTACCTCCGTACACTGCACTGCATGTGGAGCTCTGGGTCCAGTGCCTGCCCCGCTGGCCATTCGGCCCCGCCCTGAGGCCCAGCTTCCCCCCCCAGCCGTTCTGCATGGCCCTCAGCAAACAGGAGCCTCCCATGTCAACAGAGCCATTGCCTCCCGCCACGCAGAGAGCACCCCCGGGATGCACCAGTCAGACGTCAGGGGGCTCGGCGGCTGGCGGCTGGCATAGCAACGTCCCCGAGTCCTGCCACTCTGCCTGACCTGGCACCAGCCCTGGTCCCCCAGGCGGGGCCATCAGGCTGGCCCTCCTCCCCCAGGTTGACCCCAGCGGCTCCAGGAAGCCCAAAAGGCTCAGAGAGCAAAGGGCCTGGGTGCTACCCTTTCTCCCTCAGACCAGGGAGGTGACCATGAGGACTGGGGGCCTCACTCGGCCTGCCCTCAGTGCACTTTCCATGCACAGGGGCTCCCACCCTTTGTGCAGGGGCCGCAGCAGGCGGGGACTTCAGAAGAACAGGGCAGGGGCCGTGGAGCCTGGGCCTCAGGGCCCAGGACCATGAATGAATGAATGAGGTGAAATGCACCCCTTGCTTCCCACACATGTTCACGACCCAGTGCCTTCCCACAGCAGAGCATGGCCCCGCAGCCCTGTCCTCTGCCCCACCCCATCTCATTGGCACAGTCTGTGCCCCTGAGGATCTCCTGAGCCCTCATCGCTCCCCATCACCCCAGCCTAAAGATCAGGCAGCTCCTTGGCACAAAGCCTCACCTCCAACAGTGGCTGTTCCCATGCGCATGCTGCCACTGTTCCATTCCCTGAATGTGCTGGGCTCCACACCCCACAGGGCCTTTGCACATGTGATGGCTTCCTGTGTCACTCCATAGAGAAACCTTGCAGATGTCCTGGGATTTCTGAGTTCCAGGGCCCTTTCCTATGCACAGCTGTCATTACATGCCTAGTGGTGATTTGCTGATCAGTGTCACTCAAGTGCTAACTCCGTGGAGGTCCGTTGCCCACCAGAGGTCCTGGTGGTAAGAGTGCTAGGTGCAGGCAAGGTACAGAATGGTAACTAGCTGGTGAGTGGGTGTGTGGATGGAGAGATGGAGGGTGGGTGGTGGTGATGGAGCAAGGGTGTCTGAAACAATGAATGGAATCAATGAATGAATGATGGGTGGGTGGATGGATGTATGGGTGGGTGGATGGATGGGTGGATGGATACATGGATAGATGGATGGATGGGTGGGTGGGTGGATGGATGGTTGGGTGGATGGGTGGGTGGATGGATGTATGGGTGGGTGGATGGATGTATGGGTGAGTGGATGGATGGGTGGATGGATACATGGATAGATGGATGGATGGATGGGTGGGTGGGTGGATGGATGGGTGGGTGGATGGATGTATGGGTGGGTGGATGGATGGGTGGATGGATACATGGGTAGATGGATGGATGGATGGGTGGGTGGGTGGATGGATGGGTGGGTGGATGGGTGGGTGGATGGATGTATGGGTGGGTGGATGGATGTATGGGTGAGTGGATGGATGGGTGGATGGATACATGGATAGATGGATGGATGGATGGGTGGGTGGGTGGATGGATGTATGGGTGGGTGGATGGATGGGTGGATGGATACATGGGTAGATGGATGGATGGATGGGTGGGTGGATGGATGGGTGGTTGGATGGATGGATGGATGGATGAATGGATGGATGGATGGGTGGGTGGGTGGATGGATGGATGGGTGGGTGGATGGATGGGTGGATGGATACATGGATAGATGGATGGATGGATGGATGGGTGGGTGGGTGGATGGATGGATGGGTGGGTGGATGGATGGGTGGATGGATACATGGATAGATGGATGGATGGATGGGTGGGTGGGTGGATGGATGGATGGGTGGGTGGATGGATGGGTGGATGGATACATGGATAGATGGATGGATGGATGGGTGGGTGGATGGATGGATGGATGGATGGATGGATGGATGGATACATAGGTGGATGGATGGATGGATGGATGGGTGGGTGGGTGGGTGGGTGGATGGATGGATGGGTGGATGGATGGATGGATGGATGGATGGGTGGATGGATGGATGGATGGATGGATACATAGGTAGATGGATGGATGGATGGGTGGATGGATGGATGGATGGATGGATACATAGGTAGATGGATGGATGGATGGATGGATGAATGGATGGATGGGTGGATGGATGGATGGGTGGATGGATGGATGAATGGATGGATGGATGGATACATAGGTAGATGGATGGATGGATGGATGGATGGATGGGTGGATGGATGGGTGATGGGTGTGACTGCGGTAGTGGGAGTAACAGTGGCCAGATGGGTGGATCTGTAGTGGAAGGACAAACTGCTGAGTGTGTGGACAGAGGGGTCACGCATGTGTGCATTAACATGGGTGGCGTGGTGGCTCTCAGTCTCCAGGGCTCTCCAGCAGGACGTGGTATCACAGTCTCCTCTGCCTCTGCCTCTGCAGGCTTCAGTAGCCCAGGGCACAGCACCGGGGCTCCTCCCCCACGATCTAAGCAGACACCTCCAGGGACGCCGGTGGGCCCCGATGCCTCTGCTGCAGAGAGACAGCGTCAGCGCCACAAAGTCTACACCTGGGCCACCTCTGCCGTGCACAGCGGTGGCCCAGCAGGGATTCGGGAGGTCAGGGCCCCTGCGGGGAGAAGGGGGGTCCCTCCCGGGAGGCAGGCTCAAAAGTAACAAGGGAAGAGCTAAAGCACATAAGTTGGGGTGCTGGCAAAGGAATCTGAGCACTGGGGAAAAGGGGTGCTCCAGAGAGTCGGGGTGTCAGAGAGGACAGGAGAGGCAAGTGGCTGGGACCACGGGTCACGCTCGGGCTGTGCTGGGGCAGGTTTGGTTTGGGTTTGGGTTTTGAGATGGGGTCTCCCTGTGTAGTTCAGGCTGGTTCTGAACTCACGGTGATCCTTCTGCCTCGTGCTGGGGTGACAAGCGTGCGCCCCTACATCAGCTAGAGTCGGGGCAGCTTGAGGACCCAGCCAGGGGCTTTGCCAGCAACACTAGGCTGTCTCACGGAAATGGGGTGGAAGGTTTATCTTGAAATAAAATAGAAGCCGAGTGTGGTAGCACACGCCTGTCACCTCAGCACTTGGGAAACAGAGGCAGGAGGGTTGCTGAGTGTCAGGCCAGCTGAAATAAAAGAAATAAGAGAGGAGTCTGGAGGACCTGGGGGTTTCTGGGGGGAGGCTTGGCCCTCCAGGTTCAGCAGAGCTCTATGCCCACCCCCAGTCTCTCCGTGGATGTCTCCAGAGGCCGACCCCACGGAGCCCCCCACATGCCATGGGCTTCGGTCAGGCCGTCATCACGCCCAGGTTTAATTACAAACAGATCCAATGTCCAGTCTGGTCTGCAGCTGGAGGGCTGGCATGGACCTCACAATCACCTGGTCTCCCGACCTAGAGCAGCTGGGGAGGCCCAGAGACTGTCTCCCACTCCGTGGCATCAGCGTGAGATCCCCCCAAAGCACCTTAGTTCTCCCCCTAACAAGACACTGAGGTCCTGATTTCTCAGGTGAGCAGTGGAGCCCGGGGGTGTCAGGACCCTCTGTTCCAGGGACGTAACTCAAGTCCAGCCGGGGAGGAAGACTGGGGTCGCTGCCCATCACGGGGACGGCAGGGTGAAGCCAGGCAGGGCTGTACCCCCGGTGTCTGCTTGAAAGGCGAGGAAGGCTCTCTTTGGTACGAGCACCCGGCTTGGTGCGGGGCGGCGGGCACAGGCAGGAAGGGGTCCCCGAGGCTCCTGTCGGGGGACAGCAGCAGTTCTGTGGTTCCGGCCGGACAGACCCAGAGGGGAGGCTGAGCGTCCATAAGGCCACGACAGGGGCGTCTGGGGGCAGGAGCCTCTGAGAACTGTCACCTGTGGGCAGAAAGGGATGGTGAGGGCTGGGGGATCCCATGCCCTGTCTGGAAAGTGAGCTGCAGGGCTGTGACCGCAATGCCCACAGACTGCAGGCCACACAGGGACCGTGGTACCCACCAATGACTCAGGCAGCCTGTGGGACCTGCCCCTCCAGGTGACCAGGACGAAGATGGCCCTGCTGCAGCACTGGCCCAGTGGGGGGGCAGGAGGAGGCTGCTGGGGGAGGGGGAGGGCAGGAAGTACACGTTGCCATGGAGACCAAAGAGCAGCATGACCTCACTGGCATCCTCGGCAGGGAAATTCTGGCCCTCTATGGCCTCCATGCTGGTCCAGCCCCAACCCCCAGGAGCCCCAGCTCCCCAAGTGCCCCTCTCCCCCACCCCACACCTCCTCCCTCACACAGCTTGAGCCCATCTGTACCTGGGTGGCAACGGCTCAGGGCTCCCGCGCCACCACTCCACGAAGGTGCAGCTCGCTCTCGGCGGCCACGATGGGCTGCCCGTTCCGCAGGTGGTAGTCGATGAGGTGACTGATGCTGTGAAACAGGACGTCCTTGGTCCGCACCTGTGGGCAGAGACCGGGCCTTAGCGCCAGGGCCACTGGGAGGGGCCCTGCTCCAACCGGCTGAGGCTCGGAAGCAAGGCCAGGTCAGACCCCAGCGAGGGGCCACAAGGTGCTAGGGTTCAAACACGGAGCCAGCCGTGAGCGCCAGAACCATGGAGAGACTTGGGCTTTGAAGCCGCCAGGGTCCTAGGGCTGAGCCCCCTGCTCTGGGTTATATAGTGACCTCTATCAAGATGTGTCCAAGTCCCAACTCTGGTACCTCTGGGTGTGACCATACTGGGGAAGCTGGGCAATCCTAACACCTGAGAGGCTGAGGCGTGAGGATCTCCCTGCATTGAAGACCAGCCTGGGCTAGCAAGACACTGTCTCAAAAACAGATTTTTTTTTTAAACTGTGAAAGAATAAATATCCGTTGTTGTCAGCCACAGAGTTGGTGTCATTTAGTACAGCGGCCCCAAGAAACAGTCCTGCCGTCTTGGAGATTTAAGTGCGAGTAACCAAGTCCAAAAGCCGTCTGCCTCTCAGAAGAAGGCAATCTTCACATCGCTGGATTCCAGAGCTAGATGCAAAATGCAAAAACCCTCCACCACCCCATCCCCACCTACCCCAACCCGGCACTGAACTGTCCCTGGGTGACACTGGGCTCACTGAGGTGCTCTCAGTCGAAAGGCAGACTCCCCCACGAATGACCCAATTCCACGGCACTGGGCCTAAAGAGCTGCACGGTAGCAAAGCGTCTCCAGGTGCTGGCACTGCCAGTCTATCCCAGGGACTGGGCCACCCATCCGGCAGGGTACCAGGGAAAGCCCAATAGGCAAAGAGCCCAGGCCAAGCTGTGTCCACCACGGCATGTGAATTCCAGGCCAGCCTGAGCTACACAGGGAAACTCTGTCTCCAAACACCACCCATCGGTTGGCGCCCCCTTACCACACCCTCGGGGTCCACCAGCAGCAGGTGCTTGGGCTGCCCGGCGTGCATGCCGGTGAGGACGTACTGCCCCGGGTTGGTGACGCTGTCCCGCACCAGGAAGTCCCCGTCGGCTCGCAGCAGCCTCTCTGCTGCCCGGCGGCTCATGCGGCCGTGGTACCAGGGCTCCTGGCGCAGCTGCTCCTCGGTGGGGGCGATGGGGGCCCGGCGGGTCGGGGGACTGGGCCACTGGTCCTCTGTGACACCCGCCGAGCACTCGTGCAGCCTCAGAGCGTCCTCGAAGGGTCCTGCGGGGGAGACGGGGGCCTGGAGGTGGGCAGGCAGATCCCTGGGCCTCCTGCCACGCACGTGCGCCAATGCCACGAACCACGAACCGACGCTGGGCTGGGGCCTGCTAAGGATGCAAGGATGGCCTCCTCCAGTCTTTTCCTACATTTGCACAGTCCTTCATGCGCTGACCTCCTGTGCACCCCACACAGTCCTTCGTGCGCTGACCTCTGCACCCATCCCTTCCTCTTCCCCAGCAGCAGGACCCCAGCAGGCCACAGCCCACCGGTTACAGCAGGTAGGACCTTCGCCTCGCAGCCTGCGGTACAAATGCACCGCGGGCGTGCACCTAACCCGAGTCCCCTTGTGCTTTGGCTAGGAACCCGCCCCCATATTTAGGCTCCAGCAATCAGCACGCTCGAGCACCCTTGCGGCCAGGGATTGGCTGACAGCCACGCACATCACCTGGGTGGGCCCCCAGCACCCCTGGACCACCCACCTCAGGTCCACATCCAACACTTGAGACCTACGCCCGGTACACAGCAGGCGCTCAATAGCTCCCAGCCCACGGCCTGATGGCAGGAATAAGAAGAAACTCATGGGAGAGGGAAGGGGGCTTTGCAAACATGGGAATGAAAACTTGGCAGCCACCTGGGGGTCCTGGGTGCAGGAGCAGCCGCGGGGTCCCCACTGCAGACAGGAGTGTCCCAGGGACAGGACAAGCCCATCAGTCTGATGGGGAGGGGGAGATGGCGGAGCCGGACCCCACTCGCCTGCAGCCCCCGCCACCCCAGACCCAACTCACGCATGTCAAACAGGTCCTTCTTGGGGCTGTCCTCGGGCTGCGGGGGCAGCGGGTCCTCGGGCTCCGGGGCGTCCAAAGCGTCCAGTCCCTGGGTGTTGACGTACAGGTGCTCCTCGTACTCCCGAGGGCCCCGGGCATCCGCCTGCACGTAGCCATCCCCGGGCAGCGCTGCAGAGGACAAGCCAGGAGCCCAGTCTCGGGGACCCAGTCCTGACGCAGGCAGAGGCCCAGCCCCACTCTGCCCCCAGGACACTGGGTTCCCTGAGGACGCAGCAGGACTTGGGCTGGGGTGGGCAGCAGACGTCCACCCGGAGTGTCAACTTCCAAAATGGCTCCCCATATTGACACTAAATCCCCACAACTAAAAAAACCACAGCGAGCCCCGCGCCCCTCCTGTAACCATGTTATCAGCGCGAGGGCGCCAGGTCCCTTCCGCTGCCTCCGCTCTATTTCCGGAGTCGCTGCCTGTCTTCTTTTTAATTTTATTGCTGAACGCGTAAAGCCTTTGCGGGGTTCAAAAGCCAGGAAGGGAGGACAAGGGGCACAGTGACTGTCTCTGTGGTCCTCAGCTCCTGGGGCCCTCACCCCTCCACTCTACCCCTGCGGCATCCACGACCTCTGCCTGCCCGCCAAGTCCCATTTCTCTTGCTTACTCCGGGATGAGCAACTTCAGGTCCCTGGGTGTCCACGTGGTGCCTAACCCTGAGCGGAAGTCACCCTCTGGCCAAAGCTGGCTCAGGGCGAGAGGTCCCAGCATCACCACCCAGGGGAGGTCTGGGCTCCCATCCCCGCACTGGCCCCTGGGGAGTGGGCAGGCTAATTAGCCTCTGTGCTGGGCCTCAGTTTCCTCCTGTGGCACAGGGGGAGGGCGAGACCTTCCTCAGAAATCAGCAAGAACCGAGTGTCAGTGGGATGTTGTCGTACAGATGGGAGGCTGAGGCAGGAAGATCGCCAGTGAGTTGGACGCCAGCCTGGGCTACACAGTGAGTTCAAGGTCAGCCTGAGCTATGGAGGGAGACCGTGTCTCCAAACAAACAACAGAATAGCATCCAGCAAGAGCTGTGAGTCTACACGAACACTAATTCTGCCCTAGACCCCAGGTACCGATTCTGCCCAGCTTTCTTAATTGTCCAGGGCACAAGATCTCCTGGGCTGATAGCAGGACCAACCGCAGAATCCTGGAGTGGTAGAGAAGACCCTGTACATGGCACACGGGTGGAAGAATCCTCAGGCACTGGAGGTGGGGCACTGACAAATTAACAGGAGTTCTTGGCCAGAGACTTAGAAGTGGCCTGACAAGAAGCAACAACAGCATGCACAATGGCACCGGGGTAGGAGTCCCTATTAGGCCCTGTGGTCAGGGCTGAGGAGCCAGCATCATCCCAGAGGGAGAGCAGACCAGGGCCAGAGCACAGCCTGGCACCAGGTGGGCGCCTGGTGATGGAGATTTCTTTAACCACAGCTATGAGAGGCTGATGGATGCACCAACGCTTGGCAGCAAAAGGCCCAGATGACTTTCGAGAATCTAAATACAGCTCCGCACAGATGCCAGCGAGGCTGCGGGGACACAGGCGGCGCAGACGGCCTGGAGGGGGGAAGATGGCGTGGGGCTCCGGGAACAGCAGCAGCCTTCGCCACAGGGCTGGGCGCATGTGCAGCCCCCACCAGCACAGCACAGCACAAGCATAAGGGCCCAGAGGGGACAGACCAGTCCGAAGTGACAGCGGCCTGTGCTGCGCCCACCTCCGCTGTCTCTGGGGTCCAACTCCCAACTGCCGAAGGGAGTACAAAATCGCCCAGGGGTGGGTGGCAAGCCGGGCGTGACACGTCACTTGTGTCACGAGCCTCCTGAGTCACACGGCACCATCTCAGTCTTTCTGCTGAAACAAAACCCGCAGCACGCCAGACACAGCGGCCCAGGCCTGTCATCCCAGCACTCTGGGAGGCTGAGGCAGGAGGATTACAAGTTTGAGCCCAGCCTGCCTGGGCCATTTAAGAGACACAGCAAGACCCTGTCTCGAGACAGAAAGAGATGTAGTTCAGTGTGAACGCTGGCCGGCACTGGACTCTCTGTGTAGCCCTTGGACTCCAGGGGATCCTCCAGATTCAGCCTCCTGAGGGCTAGGATTACAGGTGCCTGCCATCATGCCTAGTGGTTTTTTGAATTGCATAATACCAAATCTACCCCTAGAGGCAGTCACACGCATCTGTGTGCAGAAGCCGGGTGATTCACACCCCAGCTGTCTCAAAGGCTGACACCCCCCAAGAGCAGAAACCAGAGCTCTGGCTGCATCCTACCTGAGCCGGAAGAGCACTGGTCCCACTGTGGACCACGGGTGTCTCTACGCAGCGGAGACGCTCCCTGAGAAAGAGGAAATGGGCCCTGTGTGTGTGCAGCCCTGGACTACCCAGCACCCCAGTTCCCACCCCAACCCCACGAGCTGCAGACTGGAGACAGTCACTCTCAGCCTCTCCTGCCACCAGCAGTGGCCACAGGGTCCCCAGGGCTTCCCTGCGGCCTTCTCTGTCCCGGGGTAAGGCGGCCACCTGCCTCCTCCGCCTCCCACACAACGTCCCCTCAGCCCTGTGCCCTTCCCAGCTTGGATCCCAAGATCCTACTTGCCCGCCAGGGCCCAGCCTCAAAGGCCCCTGACCATTTCCAAAGCACCCCTGTGCGTGGCAGCTCATGCCTGTCATCCCAGCACCTGGGAGGCTGAGGCAGGAGGATCGTTGCAAGTTCAAGACCAGCCTAGGCTACAAAGTGAGCTCAAGGCCAGCCTGAACCGCATATCAAGAGCCGGTCTCAAAGAGACATAAAAAACAGCACCCCTGTGTAAACTCCCATCCTTCCTGCACCGGTGGTAGCTGGGACAGGGGACCCAGCACACAGTGGCACCCCAGAGGGTCTCTGGGAACCAATGAGCCATGGCAGGTAAGTAAGCAGCAGGAGCCAGGCTCTCAGGAGCAGGGAAGCCCCGCCCCCCAGTCCGGCCCAGCCCAGCCCACATGGACAGACGGCCGCAGGCTGACCTGGCCAAGGGCCGAGAGGCCACAGGGCTGCGTGAGCGCCAGCCTGGAGTCCATGAGCCCGCCTGGCGGCGGCTCCTTTCCCGGGATGCTATTGTAGTAGTTATGACCCTCGGCCTCCTCCTCGTCCCCCCAGGCCGACTCCTCCAGTCCGGTCAGCCTGTGGCAGGGAACAGCGTTTGGGGATGAGGACCGGGTGAGGGGTAAGGGGCCACCTAGCCAGGGGCGGGGGTGCATCCTCGGTTACCTTTCGGGGGGCACCACTGCCTTGGGGGGGCTGTGCAGGTACTGCTTGAAGCGCAGCTCGAAGGCTTGGCCCACGGTGCTGATGACACTCTGCGCCAGGCCCTCACAGCACTCCAGGATGTGACAGGCTAGAGCCGGTGACCAGGAGGACCAGTGAGGCGGCCCCTGCGGGCCCAGCCCCAGCCCACACTGCTCCTCCCCGAGCCTCACCTCTCTGGTTGATGGGGTCCTTGGCGACGTAGGCCACGTAATCTGTCATGTCCTGGGGACAGGGTGGCAGGGAGACATCAGCCAGACCCACCCAGCCCCAGCCTGGATCCTGCACCCCCAGGCTCAGAGGGACAGGCCGTGGGTCTAGGGAAGGTGGAGGCCCCGAGGCTGAAGGCCACCCCGCCCTTCCCAGCCTCACCGTGTCACCACCGGACGCGAAGGAGATGGACTGCATGTGGTGGCTGGCGATGACCTGCGGGGTGGGAGAATGGGCAGTCAGGAGCACCACCCCCACTTCAGGAGTGGGGACCGCAGCTGGATCAGGGTCACGGAGGGATGAGAGGGGTGGATATAGGGAAACCGCCGTGTGATGGGGTTCCCTAGAGCTGGCCTCCGTCAGCCAGGACGACTGAGGTTGCACCAGGATAGACCCAGGGCTCAGGGGCTGGCAGGGCCACAGAGGGGCAGAGCCACCACCTCCACGGGAGGACACCCTCGAGTATGTGTCCACTAGAGCCTCAAAGAAATATGGAGAGGCAGACACACAGCGGCAGGGTGACAGGACCCGACCCAGCACACACACACTCACCCACAAACACACACACTCACACACCAGCTCACGACTATCAGCAGCAGCATCCCTGGCTCATTTGCATGTTTCTCTGAGTTCATTTGCGTATACTAGTGATGGCCCCACCTCCTCAGCCACCTGTCACCCAAATCCCCTCATAACAAGGCCAGGAGGGCAGTGTCGTCCCCCCGCGGCATGTCCCCTCTTGAGCTCTGTGGGGACCGTGAGCCCTGCTAGGTGTCCCAGCAACACAGCCCCTGGGGAACCTCAGGGTCCCTGGGCCTCACCCCAGTCAGGGACTCCTTGGGGAGTGGGGCTGCAGAGAGGGTCCATGTCCCCACTGCTGCACCAAAACCCCAGTGCTAAGCCGGACGTGGTGGTGCGCTCCCACAATCCCAGCACTCAGGAGGCTGAGGCAAGAGGATCCTTGCAGGTTTGAGACCAGCCTGGGCTACAAAGTGAGCTCAAGCTCAAATTGAGCTCAAGGCCAGCCTGAACTGCAGAAGGAGACTCTGTCCAAGAAAAAGATCCAAAAAAACCCACCCCAACGCCAGGGCTCCCCTCTCCATTCCTTGCAGATGGCTCTTCATCATTCCCAGTAGCTGAGCCCTGTGTCACACCGAGACTGGCCTGGCTGCCAGGACCCCTTCCGACTTCTCTGCGCAGTCCCAGATCTGAACACACACCCCACCCCACCCCACCCCACACCCCCGCCACCAACTCGGCCGCGGCCTAATCCTGAGGTTCCCGTGCAGGTATCCGTTTTGTCTCAGGTTTGTCCCACATTGGGCCCCGGACACCTTTCTGTACGCGTCTGGCGACACACCCGCTCCGTACCGTCCTTCCACCCGGTCTTGATTCCACCCAGTGACAGTCAGACTCCAGGGCCTCCCCGAGGGTCCCTGGAATTCCAAGGGGGCGCAGGTATCCCATGGAACTCAGGGCGCCGAGGCACCCACCTGACGCGTGGCGGGCACCGAGAGATTGAGGCCGTCGATGGAAATGTTCACGGAAATGCTCATGCCCGCGAAGCGCAGGTTGCTCTTGCCTAGGATGGAGGCCAGCGCCTTGTTGGGAGCCTGCGGTGCGGGACAGAGAGACTGGTGCTCACCGAGGAAGGGCGGGGCCCAGGGTGGGGCAGGGCTAGCGGGGAGGGTGGGGCTCAGTGTAGAGTGGGGCTCAGGATAGAGGGGTTGCATGGAGGGCGGGGCTCAAAATAGGGTGGGGCCAGCATGGAGGGTGGGGCTTAGATAGGGGTGAGTCTCAGGTAGGGCGGGGCCACCATGGAAGGTAATGTTCCCCATAGAGGATGAGCTCAGGGCGCAGGCAGGACTTGGAGGATCTGGGCTCAGGTTAGGGGCAGGGCTCGTCATCATAGGGGCGGAGCTCTGTGCAGGAGGGACCATGAAGGGGTGGGGCTCAGTCTGGGGGCGGGGTCAGCATGGAGGGCGGGGCTCAGCGTGGAGGGGTTGGGACTTATCATAGGGGCGGGGCTCAGTCTGGGGGCGGGGCCAGCATGGAGCTGCAAGGCTGAGCGTGGGGTGGAGCTCCGCGCGAGCCCTGGAGATCTGGACTCAGCTCTTGCGACCTGCGCAGACAGGCTGTGTCACAGGGGCCCCCAGGATGGCCTCCTTGTCCCCACAGCCTCGGAGTTCACCTGCCAGCCGCAGGAAGGCTGCAGTCCTCACCCACCTTCTTCTTCCAGGAGCCCCTGACGCCTGGCACAGCCTCGTGGAGCCGATTGATGGCCTCCCTGTGGTTAGGGGTCAGAGAAAAATGGGGTCTGTGAGAAAGAAGAACCCAGTGCGCAAGGCCTGCCCTCTAACGCCAAATCAACCCCGCTCTCTTTTCTGTGTCCACTGCATCCCTGGGAAGGATCAGACCCTGGGCCGGACGGGGCCAGCAGAGGTCCCCTGCCTGAGCCACGTCCAGGTGGCAGAAGCCGACACAAAACAGCGCAGGAGACAGCCACGACCCCCAGGACACTAAGGGTTCCATGGGTACAAAATAGCTCCGAGGATGTCAGGGTCACAGGGAGACACAGCCCTGACCCGCACGGGGCTGGGGACTGAGACCAGGCGGCTACTGAGGAAAACAGCCAGCCTCGCCTCAGAAGGGTAAACTGAGTCACCACGCAGTTCCACTCCTCTACAGCATCACTCAGCCAGGTGACACCGTGGCGCAGGCAGACCTCGAGGACAGCTTGGGGCATGGGGGATCACCTGCCTCTCTGTGCCATCCTCCCAGGACACCTCAGGTGCCACCTGCAGGTCCCCCAGCACCCTGTGGGAGATGGCACAGCACTTGGCCTGTCCCTTGTCTTACAGGGGAAAACTCAGTCTAGGAAATGTGGATAACCATGTGTGACATGTGGGGAGCAGGACACAACTGAGATTTTCTTTTCTTTTCTTTTCTTTTTGAGACAGGGTTTCACTATGCAAGTGAGGCTGGTCTTGAGCTCACTTTGTAGCCCAGGCTGGTCTCGAACTTGTAAGGATCCTCCTGCCTCAGCCTCCTGGGTACTGGGATTGTGGGAGTGCACCACCAAACAAGCACAATTAAGATGCAGACCCCAGAACCCCAAACCTGTGGTGCTACCAGCCAGGCATTCCCCGGTGAGGCAGTCAGGGGGATCTGTCCCCAGTGGGCCTTCCAGGATCACTGACACTGTCACCTCCCTTCCCAAGTATCGTCCCTCAAGAGGCCTTGAGTCAGCCAGGCAGGGCCGAGTCCCCAGGTGGCTGCTGAGGGCTCACCTGGTCACCTGGGTCCGGGTGCTGAAGTCCAGGGAGCGCATGGATCTGAGCACCTCAATGCAGCCCATGTACTGGAGACAGAGAACAGTGTCAGCACAGAGCCATGGTCCAGGCTCCCTGCCATTAGCCCCACACTCATCACCCTGGCCCAACCTCTGCCCTGCCCCGGGGCCTTGGCACCTGCTGCTCCCTCCCTATTGCTAGGTCAAATTTCAGCCACTGAACCCACGCGGGCTGTGTCACATGCTATGGTGTCCAATCTTTTTTTTTTTTCCACTGTGGTTTGTCATGAATACAGTGTCCAAACTTTAACCACCCAGAACCTTAGGGAGAGGAGCAAGCTGATTACAACTGTCACCCTCCCAACCCTGCAGCACCCTGTCCCACTGGAAGATGAAGGACATGGCCACACTGCTGGGGATGTGCAAGAGAGGTGAACCCAGACACGGGAGGTGGAGCCATGGGTGCCAACGGCTAGATCTGTTTTGCGTTTTTTTTTTTTTTTAATTGGGGATGGAACCCAGGGCCTGGGGTCAAGCGTAGGATCCTCTGCCTCAGCCTCACAAATACTGGGTTGACAGGTGTGCACCACCACACCCGGCCCATTTTTTAAAAAAAAAATATATAACAAACCCCACTTTGACCCCACAGTTCCAGTTTTAGGGCCTCACCCACAGCCAGTGTCCCTCAAGTCCAGCCCAGCCCTGTCTGAGCTGGAGGTGGGCACAGGGCCAGACTGCCGCCATAGTGCACCCGCCCGAGCTCCGGCTCCGGCAGCAGGGCCTCAGACCTGCACCCTCGAGCCCACTGCTGGGTCTCCTGCCCTGAGTGTGGAGGGGAGCCCGGCCTTGGCAGAGTGCACTCCACAGACGCTGGAGACCCTGTTACATGGTATTTCTAGTTCACAGTGAAGAAATGTACTCATATTAAACCAGTGCCGTGGCGCTCGCCTGCCGTCCCAGTGCTCAGGAGGCTGAGGCAGGACGGTGACCGGGAGCTGGAGGCCAGCCTGGGCTACAGTGAGACCCTGTCTCAAAACAAAAGAAATGAAAAAAGAAGCAGCAGGAAGTGTCCCCAAGGTCCCCTGTCAGTGTCCCCTCGCCAGACAGAGGGCGCAGCGAGGTCCCTCTCTGTAAAGGTGCAAGCGGGGCTCCTGGGCCTGCACCTCATGTACCGGCTGAGGCGGCCGGAGCGCATGTGCAAATGGCCACATCAGTGTGCAGCCAATGCAGCACGCACAGGACCTCAGAAGGGGGCTGCCCTAAGAGTCCCATGACCACACAGGGCCACTGGCCCGGCCTGCTGGGCGATGGGCATGTCCTCGCCAACATGGGACCAATGGCGACAAAAGCAGGACCTGGGGACACTCACCCCCACACACACAGAATCTTAGAAATGACAAAAGCTTTTGACTTATTGAGACAGGATCTCCCTACATAGTTCAGGCTGGCCTTGAGCTCGATTTGTAGCTCAGCTCGAACTTGCAGAGACCCTCCTGCCTCAGCCTCCCGAGTGCTGGGATGACAGGTGTGCACCACCACACCTGGTAAATATTGGTGTTTGACCCCACTAAGCTGTGGGGTGGTGAGCCATCCAGCGAAGGTTCATGGGGACAGTGACCCAGAGAGGCTCCAGGCCAAGTAAACGGCACAGACCCAGAAGTGAGAACCACTACGGAGGCCAGAGGGTAAGGCAGAGCCCCAGCATGGGAGCGGGGTGGGGGGTCCCCTCCGAGAGCTGAGCCAGGGGAGCTTCAGGCTGCAGGGGGTGGAGGGGCTGAGCCTCTTCACCTGTGGTGGACAGATGGATTGTAGGCAACTCAGTGGTTCAAGAGATGGTGGATGAATGGATGAGAAGTGGACAGATAGATGGACGGATGGACAGATGGATAAATGGGTGAATGATGGATGGGTGGATGGGTGGATGAATGGATGGGTGGATGGATGGGTGGATGAATGGATGGGTGGATGGATGGGTGGATGGGTGGATGGGTCAATGGATGGGTGGATGGGTGGGTGGGTGGGTGGATGAATGGATGGGTGGGTGGATGGGTCGATGGATGGGTGGGTAGGTGGATGGATGGGTGGATGGGTGGGTGGGTGGGTGGATGGATGGATGGGTGGGTGGGTGGGTAGGTGGATGGGAGGATGGGTAATGGGTCAATAGATAAACAGGTGGCTCAGTGGATTGGCAGATGGATGGACAGATGGACAGACAGATGGCCAGATGATGGTTGGATGCACGGATAAACAGCTGGGCATGTAGGTGGACAGGTGGGTGGATGGATGGATGAGTGTGTCGATGGACAGAAGAATCGTAGATAAACCACGGCTGACCAGAGACTAGATGGGTGACTGGCTGGATGACGGGTGGGTGGACAAATGAATGGGTGATGGAGGGAGGGATAACTCAAGGGTGACTGATCAGTGAGTGGACAGGTGTGTACTGCACATTCAACATGTCAGACATGCAGTACTTCAAAGGGTGTCTACCACAGTGCCTGTCTAGGATAAGAGTGGCCAGCAATCCTCCCTCAAGCAGAAAACAGGGTCTCTGGGTGGGTGTCAACACTAGCTAGGGTCTAGCTAGGGTCTGATATTCCAGGACCACACTATGGGGGATGTCACTGATGCTACTGGCCTGGGTACCACACTCTCACCACTGATTTAAGCCAATCTGGTAGCCCCATTTTTCCCTGCTATGAGATGTGGTGCCTGATTAAAAAAGAGGATCCTGAAGGAAGATTGGTTTTCTGTTCTTCTAGTGGAAAGGTCGGGTCCACAAACAATTTCTGGTGCTGTGGCTGCCTCTTTGGGACCATGAGGAAAGGTAAACCAGCACACTGAAGATAACCACGCAAAAGAAAGAACCCAGATCTTGACTGAGGGTTGCTGCCAAGCTTCCTCCTGCGGGTAGTGGCTGCCTACGCCCTGCACCGTGAGGGCCTTCTTGTGTAGAGAGAAATCCAATGAGTCCAGACAGAACAAGACAGACACAAACCTGGGCACCCACAGACCTGGGTGAGAACTCTGGAAGATGCTGGGTCTTGGTCCACAGAACGAGTGTTGCTCAGATGTGCCCTCTTTAGCAAAGACCCTGAGCCAGGGACAAATGGTCACCAAGGACAGAGCACGAGTCCCTGGGGCCATCCTGCTGCAGACAACAGGATGGATCTGCCCTGGCCCCCGAGCCCAGAGGTCCACACCCAGGTCCGTGCAGGGCCGGCTGCCTCTCCTTTGTGTCCTTTAGCTGGCCACCTTATCACCCACTGTGCCCCCAGCACCACACACCCCGTCCTGCCCATCCGTGCACAGCTGGCCTCTCTTCTTCCTCCTCGTCTTCTGCCTCCCTTCACTGTGCCGTGTTGTCTGAGAGGCTCCCACTCAGTTATGCAGAAAACAGGCAGAAAAACTCTGGGTCGTAGGGAGCCACCAGCCCAGGTCTCCAGAAAGGGCAGGCGCAGAGCTGGAGCCCGGCTGGACCCACATCTCAGTACGGCCCCTCCGGCCACACTCTGGGACCCACAGGGCTCTGCGAGGGTCTGAGATGCCAACAGGGCATTAACCGGCTCTGAGCCTCCTGGCTGCTGGAACGAAGCCCCAAAACTTGGGGACCACTGGGCTGCGGTCCAGGCGCAGGCCTGGGCTCCAGTCCCAGTTCCTAGAGGCGCCCGCAGGCCTTGGCTCGCGGCCCCTTCCTCCATCTGCAGAGCCGGCAGCGCTGTCTTCAGCCTCTCTGGGTCTCTCACCACCTCCCACATCCCCTCAGGGGAACACTGGGCCCCGGGTGGTGCAGTGACCTCTCTCAGGGTCCGGAACTCGGACCGGTGGGGGTCATTCATCTGCCAACCACAGAGATCGCCCCCGTTGGAGGAGCCCTTACTGCAGGTCTGGGCCCAGGTGACCACAGAACAACCTTGGCCGCTCCGTGCCTCAGTTTCCCCACTGGTAACGGGACCGCCTGGTGCAGGTGGTGCTCAGACCTGCTAATCCCTCATCTCTGTCCTGGAGCGATGGGGGGCGATGGGGATGGGCGTTGCCCGACCCTGCCTCCTATGTCTCTGCCAATACGAGGCTTGCGTGGGGCGCGCAGGGCCTGGGAAACCCCGTGCAGGCAGTAGCGGCTCTTGGTACACGCTTCAGACTCGGCTGCCAGCACGGCCAAGCAGCCAGCCCGCCACGCACTGTGCCACCGAAACTCGCTGTCCCTCGTCCCTTGCGGGCCATGCAGTTTCCCAAATTTCCATTTATTTGCACGCACGCTCCCTCTCCATCTCTGCCCCTCTACTGGTACTGCTCTGGGGTTTGAACCCAAGGCCACCCCTCCCCCCGGGGGGGCGATACGAAGCTTGTTTTTATGTTTCACCGTGACGCAGGGTCCCACTAAGTCACACACTGCCCAGCCAGGGTGAGCTCAGACCTTCCTGCCTCAGCCTTCCAGGGTGCTGCTGGCCTTAGAGGAGTGCGCGCTGCGCCTGGCTTTTGACTCATTCTCCCGTTTCCCGATCGCCTCTCGGGCTGCTCAGATCTGCAGGGACTCTCTCCTCCCCTCCTCGTCTTTGGTCTCCGGAGGGAGAGTGCAAACACCGCACGCGCTGCACGCGAACTGTCTGTCCACTCAGGCCTGGGAGCCAGGAGCCAGGCCCAGACCTGCGGGTCCAGGCTGGAACTGGGGATCCCACGCGCCAGCCTGGCCCCTTGATGGGGTGTGGTGGGTGGGGTCTTAGGTGGCCGCTGTAACAAATGCTCACCAGCCAGGAGGCTGAAAGCTGAAAGAGCCAGCTGCGGCAGTGTGCACCTGTAATCTCAGCCTTTGGGAGGCCGAGGCAGGAGGCTCTCTTCCAATTTAGAGGCCAGCCTGGACTATACCGAGGCCTTATCTTGAAAAGAACAAAAAAAGCCCCAGAAATATGTTCTCTCGCAGTTCTGGGGGGGGAATTCTGAGTCTCCGCAGGGCCACACATGGCCGTCCGCCCTGCAAACGCGAGGGGAAGGTCCCCCCACCCCCGCCAGCTTCGAGGACACCTGAGAAGCTTCTTCAGGGGCTCTTGGCTGGTGGCTGCGTCACTCTTGGCCTCTCCTCACAGAGACACAAGTTGCGGCTCTGGGGCGAGCTGTCATCCAGCAGCAGGACCCCACCCTGGGACACCCACCAGATCCCCTCTTCTAACCCAGGTCCCATCATGGCTCCCCGGAGCACACGATTGAGGGAGGGTGACTCAAGGAGGGGCGAATGCTGGAGACCAAGGGCCACCAGCCACAGACACACCCTCAGGCTGCTGCCAGTGCTTCCCGCAGTCACCCCTGTTCTGCCAACTTCGGGGGACCGCGTCACACAGCCTCAGTGGCAGTGGACAACAAAGCCGGGTGGGGAGGCCCAGGCCTGACATTCCAGCTACCAGGGAGGCTGAGGCAGGAGGATCCCAGGTTGCAGGCCACCCTGGACAACTGAGAGACAATTTACATTTAAAGGGGGCAGAGCTGAGGCTTGGTGGCCAGCGGTGGAAGCCGGTCCAGGCTTCCACATCCAGCAACATCAACAGATGAAAAACAAACCAAACCCGATGTCAGCGTGCGTGGCCGAGCGGGGCATGTCTGTCCCTGCACTTCCCGTGTGCCTGACATGGCCTAGAACAAAAACTCCGGGATCCACAAAGGCGGGTCTCTTGGGTCCTGTGGGAGACGCGGACCCATGGTCTCTTATCCGGGACCCCCAAGATCTCGGGAGCCGGTTAAAGACGCCAGCACCTCTGGCCAAGGTCCCGGCCACAGAGCTCTCCTAGCACCCCGCGGCTGCTGGGTCCTGCACCCCAAACCCACCCGGTGGAGGAGGGGGGCCGCACCTGCGCATGCGCCCTCCCACCTGCGCTTCTCCCCGCCCCTCCCCACGTGATGCCATGGGAACCCGGCCCGAGATGGGGGTCGCAGAGGTGGCGAGTGGACACCTCGCTGTTAGGGTCCAGGCCCCGCACGGGGCGCGCAGGGGGGCCCCGGACCCGGGGTGCAGGGAGGGGGTCGGGGGACGCCCTCCGGGGGGCGCACTCACCCTGACGACGTAGGAGACCCCGGGCCCCAGGACCCTGGCGTCGGGGTGCAGCCAGCCGTGCGCCGGCTTGTGGATGAAGCCGCCCTTGCGCGCCCACTCGTCGGCCGCGGCGTCCTGGGGCCCCGCCGTCCCCCCACCCCGCGCGCCCCGCGGCCCGCGCGCCCCCGGGACCCGGCAGCGGCCGAGCGCAGGCAGCGGGCAGGGGGCGGCGCAGCGCGACTCGCAGGCGCCCAGCACGGCGGCCAGCGCGGGCCTGGGGTCCCCGGGGCCCGCCGCGCCCTCCGCCCGCGCCGCCCCCGCCGCCGGCCCGCGGCCCAGGAAGCCCCCGGGCGCCGCCAGCTTCCAGGGCGCCATGCGCGGCAGCAGCGCGCAGAAGGTGGTGGGCGCCTCGGGTTCGGGGCCGCCGGGGGGCGCGCGGCCGCCCGGGCCCTGCGTCATGGCGCGGCCGCCGCGGAGCGCACACCGGGACCGAGCGCCTGGCGCGGAGGCCGCCGCGCTCCGCCCGGCCCAGCCCGGCCCGGTCCGGCCCCGCCCCGGCCGCGGTGATGTCACCCCCGGCCCAGCGCGCAGCCGCGGGGGGCTGCGCCCCAGGGACCCCGGCCTTGAGCCAAGCGGCCTCGGCGGGGCTCGGGCGGGCGGGGTTTCGGCCCCGAGCGCCTTGGGGGTGTGGGCGGCGCCCCGCTGCTGCGCCTCGCGTTCCTGGGCTGCTTAAGAAGGAGCCCGAACCGACGGGGAAACTGAGGCTGGCCGGAGGAGGCGCGCGATCCGGGCCGGGCTCTTCTCCCCCGCAGAGACACGAAGGCCTGGGCGGGCCTGAAGGACCGGCGTGCCCGGAGCAGACCTAAAGTTTGGGTCCTTCTGCACCGAGCACCGGGGCTCACGGGGACCCCAACCCCAGCCTCCTCCGCCCCGCCCAGCCCCGCCCCGCCTCCGGCGGACGCTGGGGGACAAAGCCCGGGTGCAGGTGGGGAGGGCGGGGCGTGGCCACCGTGGAGCGATCGATAAAGCAGAAAAATGAGGTCACCGCGCCGAGGGGGAAGGGCAGTCCTCGGAGAGGGAGAGGGAGGGGCGCCGAGGTTCAGTTGCGAATCTGCACCCCACCCCCACCCCGTTCCGTGGAGGCGGTGTCCGGACTCCACACCCGGGCTGCTGTCAATGTCTCTGTCGTGGGGAGGGGGTCTGGGGCACGTCCCGGGTGTGTCCTGGATTGAGGTCCATTGGGGAGGGCACAGCCCAGCTTCCTGACAAAGCCCATGTTTCTGTTCGTGAGTGGCCCGGGTTCGAATCCTGCATCGGGCTGAGAACCGTGGCTGTGGAAACGCCTCAGGGTCGCTGAAGCACAGTTTCCTCTGGAGACCACCATCCTTGCCTCCCGAGTGCCTGTAAAGCCTAGGTGACCTTCACCAATATCTGGAGAATAGAAGGCATCTAATGGTGGGTACCACAATACATCAAACTCCTGTGCGTCCCTCAAAACCCAAGAACAGAGTTTCATCTCCCAGAAACCCTCCACCTGGCTCCCCCTACTCAAAATCTTGGCTCCACTCTGGCCTCCCTCAGGCTGGATGCCTTATCTCTCTGGTCCCCTCCAGACAGCTGCAGGACGGCAGAGTTTGGAGCTGGAAGTCACAATTCAGGTGTCCTTTCTAAGGCACAGATAGACACAGCAGCTGTTGTCGCTGAGATTTATTGGCCCCAGCTCTAGGGGGCGGGCGGGTCCCCCGCTCCCCGAGAAGCAGGGATAGACCCAGCTTGGCAGAAACCGGAGCTGTGCGGGACCGGAGCCCTGGAGGCGCTGGACGGCAAGTTCCAGGCCACACAAAGCTCCGACTCCGGACCGGACACTCTGAGCCGGCCTGCGCTGGCCTGGCGTGACCGGCAGAGAGGAAACTGGGGCGCTACTTGGGGCCTGGGGGTGTGGCCTGGAGAGACCTCAGGCCCTGTGGAGGGGAGGGAGGGGCTCCCTGTGCCCGGGCCGCCCTGCCCCCACCGCACCTCACCCCCTGAGGGGAGGCTGAGGCGGTCAGGGCGCGGTGTCCAGGGCCAGGGTGGCTGCCCGCCTGGGGAGGCGGATGCCCATGCTGTAGGCGGGGGCCCTGGCTCTGTTCACGGTGACCTGCTCCGGATAGTGGCTGCCTGGGCCGGGCATCTCCTCCGGAGGCCGTGGGGTGCGGGGCCGGCCCAGCATGGTAAAGGCCGGCTGGCGCTGGCGGTAGGCGTTGGGGTCCGGCATGTCGTACTGCCCAGGGCCCGGGATCTCGGCGGGGTCCTGCAGGAGGCGGACAGGGGGTGTGCGGCCCACCACCGTGTAGCTGGGGCTCCGGGGTTTGACTAAGATCTGTGAGCCCCAGAGCGGAGGCATGATGTAGGCGTTGGGGGCCGGGACCGAGGTGTCAGGGGGCTTTGGCTGCAGGCGCAAGCCTAGGGTGAATGCTGGGGATGTCCGATGACACGCAGGGGGCACCTTCTCCGGGCTGTAGGTACCTGGGCCGGGAGTCACCTCCAGACCTGTGGGAACAGGAACACAAGGCTGACACAGGACAGAGACCTCTTCCATTCCAAAAGGGTGTGTGGCTCCCTGCTGCTCAAATGCATCCTACAACTCCTACATAAACCACACAGCCCCAGGGCATTCCTCCCACTGCCGTCCATCTTCCATACACATTCTGCTCTCATGGTCTCCTAAGCCTAGCTGGTGGCCCACTATGGCTTCCCTTTCCCATCCCCTCTCCCCAGAGTGGTTCTTCAGACTCTAGCCAGCCCCATGGGCCTTCCTCTCGCCCTGCTGACCATCCCCTTGCCCTCTTCTGGGCAGAGCTTCCCCTTTTGGCCCTCCCAGGACCCCACCAACTTCCTCTCTCCCTGCTGGCTGTGAATTTCCCACCAGCTTGGGCCTCATGGCACTGCATGGATGAGGGAGGGGAATGCAAGAAGTCAGTGAGGAGTAAATGAGTGGGGAGTGTGTCCATCAGCTGTGATCCAGGAGGGAGATGAGCCAGTCAGCATGTGGATGGGGATGGCTGGGTGGATGGGTGGATGGATGGGTGGATTCGTGGATGGGTGGATGGATGGGTGGATTCGTGGATGGGTGGGTGGGTGGATGGATGGATGGATGGATTCGTGGATGTGTGGGTGGGTGGATGGATGGATGGATGGATGGATGGATGGATGGGTGGATGGATGGATGGATGGGTGGATGGATGGATGGATTCGTGGATGTGTGGGTGGGTGGATGGATGGATGGGTGGATGGATGGATGGGTGGATGGATGGGTGGATTCGTGGATGGGTGGGTGGATGAGTGATGGATGGGTGGCTGGGTGGGTGATAGATAGGTGGAAAGACTGTGGATGGACTCCTGGGCATTCCAGCGGGCCCGTTGATGGCATGAGGCACCCTGGCTTCTCGGAGGAGGGTTATGCGGAAGAGCACATGGGATGATGGGTGAATCTGTGGACAGCTGGACACCTGGGCCTCTCATCGAGCTGCCAGGTGGGTAGGCCATCGGGTTGGAAGAGGAAAGGCTGGGCAGGAGGAGGGTGGAGTCAGGCAACCGAGGGGGACTCAGGGCCCTGGGGAGAGGGTCCTGCCAGAAGCCAGCACCCCCATGCGTCCTGGGGCCTGGGAGGAGCTGAGGTGGCCCTGCCCTTACCCCCCACATCTGGGCCTCTGGGGGCCCCTCTGAGTCCCTTGGACTTGGTCGGAGACTGGTGGGGTTGGGGGAGCTCAGAGTGGGTCTCTGCATGGCACCCCAACCCCTACTCACCCCGAGTCTTGCCTCGGCCCTGCATGGAGAAGGCGGGGGTGCAGCTCCGGCCAAAGCGGGTGACCTTCGGGTCCAGGAAATAGATGGGCCCTGGGCTGGTATCCTGGCGTGTTGCTGCAGAGGGGCAGGAGTCTGAGGTCTCCCCGGGGGTGATGGTGGCCTGACAGGCTGGGGCCCTGCTGTCCCCTCCCCCCAACACTCTGTCTCCACACACCTCCCACCCTGAGTCCCCAGTGGGGACCAGCTCCCTGCACATTGGGGTTCATCCCAGCACTCAGGAGGCTGAGGCAGGAGGATCGCCACAAGTTCAAGACCAGCCTGGGCTACATAGTGAGACCCTGTCTCCAAAAAAAAAAAAAAAAAAAAAAATGGAACTTCTGGTGCAGGACCCAGTGCTTGGCCTGTCCCCTGTACTGTCACATGTCACAGCCTATCCTGCTTCCGCATTCCCACCCCATCTCTGCGACAAGTGGATCCACCTATGCTGCAGCCTCTACCTACAGATCATTGGTACTCCTGAGGCTTCCACCAAACTCCTACTTATCCCCAAAAGCCCAGATCTCAGGCCTCAGCTCTCACTGTCTACCCTGGGCCTTGGGCAAATAGTCTTCACTCTATTCAAAAGAACCAGGCATGGGGCTGGGGGTTTAGCTCAGCGACAAGCACGAGGTTGTGCGTTTGGCCCGGCGAGGAAATTGGCTCTGCACTCACACCGACAGCACACTTTTACTGGCCACTCACTGGACACCGGGCACTATGGTCACTGCTGCCCCCCCCCATGGTGGCTAGGCAAGGTCCTGCCACCGAGCCAGGGCCTCAGCCCTGAATCAACATTTTTTCTTTTTGTTTTATGAGACAGAGTCTCCTCTGTGTGGCCCAGGCTGGCCTTGAACTTGTGTCGATTCTCCTGCCTCAGCCTCCCGAGTGCTGGGATCACAGACCTGGCCACCACCACGCCGGACTGATACGAACGTTTAATAGAGGCAGGAGGACAGAACAGACACCCAGCTTGCAAAACCCAGAGGCAAAGAGACCCAGGTCTCAAACACGGCCCTCCCCTTCTCTCTATCACGGAGGAAACTGGACCAGAGAGAACCGGCCGCCTGCGCCGGGTCACACAGCAAGCGCAGGTGGACAGACCTCCCCTGCCCCGTCCGACCCCGCCTCCCGTCGGGGTCCCAGCGCCCCTCACCTTCACTGGGTTTCCCTGCCAGCGTGTAGGCGGGCCCGGCCGGCCTGGTGCGGTCGTGGTGGAGGAAGCCCACGGTGGGCGGCAGGATGTACAGGCCAGGCCCGGAGCCTGCAACCCGGTGCCCAGGTCACCGCGGGGCGGTTGGGGGGAGGAGCTGGACCCGGCTCCCACCCAGCGCCTGGGCCGAGGCCGGGGCTCTGCGCCTGGGGACGGCGCGGCCCATTGTGAGCCCGCGCGGGTTACGCGGGAGGGGCTGGGAGTGGCCAGGGGCAAGACGGCGCGCTGGGGAAACTGAGGCCGGGGCGGGCTGCGGGCTGGCGGAGGGGACCCGGCTCCTGCGCACGGCTGGGAGCCAGCGCAGCCCCCACCGACCCGGGGTCCTCCCGCCTGCCCCGCACCCGCCATCCCGCCGGGCAGGGGGAAACTGAGGCCGGCACGCACCGTCCCCCGGGGGCTTCCGCAGTGTCCCCATGGCGCCGAGCGCGGGCGTCTTCACGCTGCCGTCCGGTCCTCGCGGCTCGCGCTCCCCGTCCGCACGCACGGCCCACAGCGCCGGCCTCGCCACTCCCCTGCCCGGCACAGACGGGCCCTTGTCCCGGCCGGGCAGGCGCCGGCCTGGAAGTGGGCTGGATCGGGTGTCGCCGAGGAATCCGGTGTCCCGGGCGTCCCCAGGGAGAGGCCCCAAGGCGCCAAGCGCAAAGGGTACCCCCGGAGCTGGGACGGGGTGGTGAGGATGTGGGGTGGGGTCCCCGTGCACCCCCATCCCAGCAGCCTAAGGTCGTTTGGTCCAAGGCCCAGCAGCCCGGTGCGCTCAGGGGCTCAAGGGCTCAGAGGCTGCTACTTTGGTGTGCATAGCGCAGAGCATTTATCCAGCACCTGCAGCCTGTTGGGCTCCATAGTGGGGTCTGACAGGAACCCGCACCGCGTGATGGGGCGTCCCTGAGGACGCCTGAACAGGTGTCCATGGGAGCAGGGAGAGTGGGCCTCCAGGAGTTGCAGAGGAGGTGTTCCAAGCAGAGCAGAAGTCATGCAAAGGCCCTGGGGCCACTTAAGGACTGAGCTGCTTTCACTGGGCTGTGAGCAGAGAGGATCAGGGGGACAGAGGTGCTCCCGGGCGCTCTCTGGTGGCCATGGGAGGAACGCACCGAGGCCTGAGGTAGCTGAGCAGATGGTGATGCCAGGATGAAGATTTAGGGATGGTGGGAAGATGATGGGACAGAGACAGGAAGGATGGTGGAACATGATGGAGGGTAATAGGAGGAGTGATGGGAGGGCGGTGGAGGGTAGTGGAGGAGGGTGGGAGGGCGATGAGAGGAGGATGAAGGATGATGGGATGATGGGGATTATAGGGAATGATAGGAGTTGATGGAGGATGATGGGAGATGACAGAGGATGATGGGAGATGATAGGGAATGATGGGAGATGACAGGGGATGATGGGGAATGATGGGGGATGATGGAGGATGATGGGAGATGATGGAGGATGATGGGAGATGATGGGGGATGATGGGAGCTGATGGAGCCGGATGGAGAGGGTAGGAGTTAGTGGAGGATGGTGAGGGATGGGGGAAGATGAAGGGAAGGGACAGATGATGCCAGGTGATGGGTGATGAGGGAGGACAGTGACCATAGGACAGGATGATGGAAAGCAATGGGGTGACGGGAGAAGACGAGTGAATTATGGCGGATGGTGGGCGGTAGTGGGGGTGATGTGAAGGAGGTTGGAGGAGGAAGCTGGGAAGGTGACAGAGGGTGGCAGGAGGGGTGGCAGGGGTCACAGGAGGCAGCCATGAGGACAGCAGTCCTGTGCCATCTATGAGCGGGTCTGTCTGGGTCTCCCCGGAAGCCAGGAGCTCTGGGCCCCCATCAGCTTCTCCTGGGCTGAGAGCCCTGTGGGAGTCGGGGCCCCCCAGGACCGGCATCTGCCAACCCATCGAAGTTTTGTAGTTCAGACTGATTTAGAACTTTGTGTAACCTGTGCTGGCCTCAAACCCACAGCAGCCCTCCTGCCTCAGCCTCCCGAGCGCTGGGCCTACGGGCATCTGCCGCCACCCCCAGCTCTGTATGCTGAATTTTGCTGTGAGCCTGAAACAGCTCTTTAAAAAGCCTGTCATTTAAAATGCTGAAGTCCTAGCCAGGTGTGATCCCACCTGTAATCCCAGCACTCGGAGGCCGAGGCAGGAGGGTCATCACAAATCCAAGGCCAGCCTAAGTCACACTGAAGTTCTAACTCCCAATAAGTGCTGCCTCAGTTGAAAATAGGATTTTTGCAAACAGAATGGAATTAAAATGAGTTTTTGTACTGGATTAGAGAGATCCCTGTGTGGTGTTTTACATTTTCTGTTTTTCTTTTTGGTTTTTTGAGACAGTTTCACTATGTAGCCCAGGCTGGCGTCAAACTCACAGTGACCCTCCTGCTTCAGCCTCCCGAGTGCCGGAATGACAGGGTGCACTACCACGCCCAGCTGCATTTCATGGCTTCAAACAGGCGGAAACTTTGGACGGACCCAGAGACACAGAGAAGGAAGGTGGGGGAAGGCAGAGGCAGTTACACCAAGCCCCCACCAGAACTGAATGAGGCAAGGCAGGGTTTGGTTGGGGGGAGCCCAGCCCTGTGCCACCTGGATTTTGGACTTCCGGTCTCCAGGCAGTGAAGGGAGAAGATATTCCCAGTGTTGCAGACACTTGGTCATCATGGTTAGCTGTGGCATTCAAGAAATGAATAAAGGGCTTCCTCGCTGGGGCTGTAAAGAGTGCATAAGAGTTTGGTGGGCAGAAAAAGCAGGGTAAGGATGTTGCAAGATTACCGTGAGACCCTGGCCCCCATTTCCCCATCCCCTTGGGAAGAGTGCCCCCTTTCCCATCCACACCATGGGCACAGGGTAATTTGGTCCAAGAGATACAACAGAAGGCCCCTCGATGACCCCCAGACCAGGTCCCCAGGAGCCACTCAACACGCAGCCCCTGTCACTGAGACCAGTGCAGTGTGAGCCCCTCGGGGCTCCAGCAGAACCTGTCACCCTGTGTTCCAGGGAAGCCATTATGAAATTGTAAGAAAAGCCCACACCTGTCATCCCAGCACTCAGGAGGCTGAGGCAGGGTGATCGCCGCGAGTTCAAGACCAGCCTGGGCTGCACAGTGAGCTCAAGGCCAGCCTGAACCACATAGCAAGACCCTGTCTCAAAAAGACAAAAAATTAAAATTAAATATGGCTGGGGCTGGAGTTCAGTGCAAAGGCCCTGGGTTCCATCCCCAGTGCTGAAAGAAAACAAAACAAAAACCACTCACAGACAGCCTCGAGCAGCCAGTTCATTTCCACGGCCAGGTCCGATGTGAAATACAGCACCTGTGTCCTTGCACCTGGGCCACCTCATCTCACAGCAACAAGCCCCACTTGCCGAGGGCACAAAAGCGCTCGCCAGCCACCCGAGATCACAAGCATGGTTTGTTTCTTCTGCTTGGAATGCATTTCTGCTGCGATCACTGTAACCAACCACAAACTCGTGCTCCAAACCGCACGCACAGCTTCATCAGCTTACATCTCCCTCAGTCCGGAGAACCCGGCTCCGAGCAGCACCTGCATCCCTTGGCTTGCAGCCCCATCCTCCAGCTGCAGAGCTGCTGGCAGCAGCATCCTGAACCCCTCTCTCCCTCCCTCCCTCCCTCCCTCCCTCCCTCCCGCCTCCTCAGGACAAAGCTGGAATTTGTGGTCAGCTCACCAGGAGGAGAAATGCTAGCGATGGCCGAAGGAAGACTTCAGGTTCCCCCGATCAAGGCGGGAATCTCGGGGACCTGGCACAGCAGAAGGGGACCATTGGGCCAGGTCTCCGGGGTCCCTCTGGTCACTGTGGCAAATATGTTGGGGTCAGGAGGGGACTTGGGGATACCTGGTGGCAGTACACTGCCCCTGGAAGGCCAGAGACAGCAAAAAGTGGTGGATACCGGGCGTCCTGGGGAACGAAATCCCAGGAGTTTTGCAGGTGGGGTGGGGGAGGGGTACAGGCAGAGACGCTAAGTGCACCCCAAGGCTGGCCCGGGCCCTGAGGGAGGACCGGCCCCTCCTCAACTCAGCAGCCGCCCGCAGCACGCATGCACAAGCATGCCCATGCCGAGGAGCCCGTGCAGAGCCAGGGCTCTTGGCCCCCGATCCTCATTCTGGGGTGCAGCGCTGTACCGGGGTGGCACGCGGAGCTTCACGCTGGGCTCCACCCCCGGCCCCTTTAATTTTTATGTTGAGAGACCCTTGCTACGCCACTGCCTTGCCCAGGCTGGGCTGGACCTTGAGATCCTCCTGCCTCAGCCTCCCCGAGTGTGCCCAGCTAGCACACCACCCCCCATCTTTCTCCAGAACACACCCCGAGGGCCACAAGCCAGGGCGCTTGTCCAGGAGGCCAGCGTTCTCGGGTGACCCGCTGTTTTTCTGTGTCCCTGGCACACAGCAGCAGCGAGACGCCTCCCACACCAGGGCCAGCGCCACCTCTGGCCTCCCGCAGCCAGGATCTGTCGTTGCCCGCCTCCCCGGGGGCGCCCGCCTTTGTCCTCCGGCTGGCAGCCGGTCGCCTGACTCACACCCACGTGCCTCGGTGGCCGCCTGCCCCTCTGCCCCACAGGGACTCCAACAAGGCAGCCTTGTCCTGCTGCCGCGCCTGAGGACACAGGGAACCTGCCGGGCCGCTCTCCTGTCTTTACCCAGGAAGCCCGCGGCCCCGGCTCTGCAGAGCCAGCCCTCACGGCCCCTCAGCGCAGCACTGCTGGTTCGCGACGCTTAGGGTTCGCAGGCTTTGGGTCCTGAGTGTGCCCCACAGTGTCCCTGTGTTAGAGGCTTGGTCCATGGAGTGCTTTTAAGGGGTGGGCCCTTGTCAGGGTGGTGACACACACCTTCATCCCAGCGCTGTGGGAGGCTCAGATAGGAGGCTCAACTCGGAAAACACAAAGGGCTTGGGTGCAGCTCATGCAAAGGCCCTGAGGTGTTTTTTTTACAGCTTCAACTAGTGATTTTTATTTTTTTACTATGTTTGCTTTGCTTTTCTTTTTTTAAAAATCCATTTTAGTCATAGATAAAAAGAAAAGAAGAAAGAAAAAAACCACAAGAAAATTACAAAGCGCATCAGTCAAAGGGTGACAAGCACATACATCATGCTTTGTCACCCACTAGGGCCCTGGGTTGAATCCCCAGTATGGGAGAAAAAATTTTAAAAAGAAGGAACAGGAGTGGGCTAAAGGCAGGCATTTGGGTCACGAGAGGGTGTTTCTCAAAGGGAACTGCGCCAGACCCCTCCGTCTCTCCAGGCAGAAGGAAATAGGCCCCCTCTTCCACGGGCTCCCCCATGCTGCTTCCCACGGGCCCAAAAGCCTCAGGGCAGCTGATGATGGCCAGGACCTCCGAAACCGTAGGCCATGGTGAGTGTTTCCCCCGAAGAGCCGGTTACCTGTTGTACCTAGGCATTGTAGGAATGGAAAGCGGTCCACCTGCCCTGGGACGTCAGGTCCTCTGCGCTGCATGCTTCGAGGTCTCCTTGGCACCTACAGCAATGCCTGGCACTCGGCAGGCAGTCACCAAATACGTGTTCACGTTAGCACGGCAGCCTGGGTCCTGGCGCTCTGGCAGCTGCGGCAGGAGGATCCCAAGTTCAAGCCCAGCTGCAGCGATTTAGCGAGAGACCTTCATCCCAAAATAAAGAGTCAAAAGGGCCAGAGAGGGAGTTCAGTGGGAAGGCTGAGTTCAATCCCCATTCCGCAAAAAAGAAAAAGCAAAAAGCATGGTGAATTAAGCAGTGACCTCAGCCACTCTCAGACTAAAATATCCAGGGTCCTCTTCACCAAAAACACCTCAAACATCACCTCAAACAGGCCCCCAACTTCCAGCACCACCGGGTCAGTCCCAGAACACCCTCCGCGCCCTAAGTAAAGCACCGCACCCGCACCAGAGTTCCCCACACCTCCCCTCATCGCACAAGCACTAAAGCCCAGCACATGACAGCTTCCTAGCATTAAAACCTGGTGCATACCAGCAAGACCCTGCCATGATAATCCCAGCTCCCTAGCAACCAGATGCCTCCATCATAATCCTAGTTCCCTAGCAACCAGATGCTCATATAATCCCAGCTCCCTAGCAACCAGGTGCCATGATAATCCCAGCTCCCTAGCAACCAGATTTCACCATGACAATCCCAGCTCCTTAACAACCAGATGCCGCCATCATAAACCCAGCTCCCTAGCAACCAGATGCTGCCATCATAATCCTAGTTCCCTAGCAACCAGGTGCCATGATAATCCCAGCTCCCTAGCAACCAGATTTCACCATGACAATCCCAGCTCCTTAACAACCAGATGCCACCATCATAAACCCAGCTCCCTAGCAACCAGATGCTGCCATCATAATCCTAGTTCCCTAGCAACCAGGTGCCATGATAATCCCAGTTCCCTAGCAACCAGATTTCACCATGACAGTCCCAGCTCCTTAACAACCAGATGCCGCCATCATAAACCCAGCTCCCTAGCAACCAGATGCTACCATCATAATCCCAGCTCCCTAGCAACCAGATGCCATGATAATCCCAGCTCCCTAGCAACCAGATGCTGCCATCATAATCCCAGCTCCCTAGCAACCAGATGCCATGATAATCCCAGCTCCCTAGCAACCAGATGCTGCCATCACAATCCCAGCTCCCTAGCAACCAGATGCCATGATAAACCCAGCTCCATAGCAACCAGATGCCACCATCATAATCCCAGCTCCCTAGCAACAGAAAACCAGCCTTGGCCACAGGACCCGAGCACAAGCAATAGAACCCAGCTCCCTAGAAACAGGGTCCCAAACTTCTTAACATCATCCCAGCCCCTAGCAACAACATCCCAGCCTTGGCAACATGGTCCCAGAGCTTAGCAACAGGGCCCCAGCCCTGGCAACATGATCTCAGCCCCTAGCAACAGGATCCCAGCCTTGGCAACGTGATCTCAACCCCTAGCAACAGGAAACCAGCCTTGGCAACAGGTCCCAGGCCCTAGCTCCACAGTGCCAGTTCCGCCACGAAGCAACCCTCCCCCCAGGGACCAGCACGTGGTCCACGATTCCCATCTCTGGTGACGACCCCGGCGCGCGGTTTCAGCAAGCACTATGATCTCCAAGCCAAAAACAAGAGCGTCTAGCACAGAGGTCTGGGTGCTCCGAGGGTGGACTGGTCATGACAATGGCTGTCATGTGATCTTTCGCAGCCCACCCATCGCTCCTGGGACCCGTCCTTTTTTCAGGCAGAGCGAGATGTTTGGTGGGATCCGGATGGCTGGAGTGCAGGTCCCAAGGGAACTGGAATCCACTTGAGCAGTTGAGGCTCAGGGGTTGGGTGGGACTGTGGGTGGGGCGGGGAAAGGGGCGGGAAATTGGCTTGGAGGCTGCCGGTCCCTTGGAGTGGGGGCGGGGCATTTGTGCTGCTGGGCGGGGCCAGACGCCAAGGAGTGGGGCCTATGCGGGGAGGGACAGATCGCTGGGGAGGGGTGGGGCTAAGCATTGGGCGGGGCCTAAGCACAAAGGGGCGGGGTCTAAGCACAAGGGGCGGGGCCTGGTATGGGGCGGGGCCTACTGCGAAGCAGGGAGTTGGGGAGCCGAGGCCTGGCAGATTTATCTCCCTGTCTACAAAGACCACGGCGTCCTGAGAGCCAATCAGGACCCCGACCTCAGCTCTGACTGGAGTCCTGATCCCCATTCCCACTCTGAGCTCCGCCCAGGAACCCTGTCCATTCTGCCCCCGTTT